GGATATTATGCACATCACTAATTCATAAAACAATACAGGTGAAAAATATAGAATGATGAAGTGGTGGTTAGTGTAACTGACAGTGGTTTAATTTAAATCACAAATTTTACGTCAAATTGAGAAACTTATACTGCCACTAAAAGTATAGTGACAGATTTGAAAAGCAGAACATAAAAGTTTTATTTACAACATAATTATAATGAAAAAATGGATATGAATATAAAAAGAGATTGTAGGAGGACACAGGACTCAAGATAGAAAATCAGACTCCTTACAGGAGGATGAGGCTGATTCATCCCATTGGGGTGTCCTGGAGATGCCTGGACATCTCTTTCAGTTCCTGCCCTTTCTGAGTTTTGGTTAGCCAGGGTTTTCCTCTGTGAGCTTCCCTAAATCAGAGTACAGAGTATGCTGCAATAATAGAGACCCCAAATATAGTGATTTAAATGAAATAGCAGCATTACCAAACCAAGCTTGGGTCCACTCAACCGAGTGCAGCAAAGCCAATGTATTGACATTGGGTTGTGGTGAAAGAAAGTGTGGTGTTTGTTGCAGGCACCAAGCAAAGAGTCTAGGCAGCTAATGCTCAAAAGATCCAAACTCTCCAGTGGCTTTCAGGCAAGGTTTTTAAAGACAGTGTGAGCAAGAGTGTTGCAGGGTGTGTGATCTGCTCCTGGACATTCTTCTGATTGGTTGGTGGTGAGGTAATCAGGAGTCAACCATCATTAACCTTCTGATCCCAGCCATCTGGGGTCTATGTTCTTGTTAGCAGCATACAGTTAACTTCTTCCACCTGGTGGGGATTTCGGTATCTGCAAAACAGCTCAAAGGATAGGGCTCAGAATATTATCTCTAGCCCTTGAGGAGGAGCTAAAGGTCCTTGACTTTATTTAATAGCTAAACTATTGTTATTTTGTCTGCTTGACTGTTTTCCTTTGTTTTTGCATTTTCTAGCTTCTCTGATTAAATTTATTATCTGGTCCTTGGGGATCGCCTAGGAGGCTAAAGTTTTTCTACAAACAAGAGGCAGTCAGAGGACATGGTGGGGGGGTGGGGGGAGGGTCTGTCCTAGGAAGGCCCGATAGGGTTTTGCTTGGTTACAGGAGCTTCTTTCTCATGTAACAGTCTGGAGGTAGATGTGGCCCAGGCTGGCAGGGTGGTTCAGCTCCATTAAGTTATCCATGGACCCTGGTTTCTTTCCTCTTAATGCTCTACCATACCCTAGGATATTTTCCTCATTTGCATGGTTAAAGCTTGGGCACTGACAGGGGTTTGCATTGGCACCATCTAGCTCTGGGGAAGGGCAAAAGAGCAGAACTGGAGGACAACTGATTTATCTTTTAAGCAAGTGAGGCAGAAGTGGCACATATTACTTTCACTCATATTCTGTTGGTGAGAACTTGACCACACTTGGTTGTAAGAGAAATTGGGGGGCTTCCCTGGGGGGGCTTCCCTGGGGGGGCTTCCCTGGTGGCTCACTGGTTGAGAGTCCGCCTGCCGATGCAGGGGACGCGGGTTCGTGCCCCGGTGTGGGAAGATCCCACATACCGCGGAGCAGCTGGGCCCGTGAGCCATGGCCTCTGGGCCTGCGCCTCCGGAGCCTGTGCTCCGCGACGGGAGAGGCCACAACAGTGAGGCCCGCGTACCGCAAAAAAAAAAAAAAAAAAGAGAAACTGGGAAATGTGGTCTTTAACCTGGGCTTCACGTGCCCAACCAAAAATTAGTAAAAGGGAAAAACAGATTTGGGGGGACAACTATCAGTCTGCCACGTTTCTCTTGCCAACAAAAAATTAATCAGTCGAGCTAAGAAAGAATTGGAAAGTTTTATCAAGCCAAATTTGAGGATTATAACCCAGGAAGAGCATGTCAGAAAGCTCTGAGAACTGTTTTATCCATTAGAAGTAAAAGCACAGTTATATAAGTTTTTTTTTTGAGACAGAGGCTGTACATCAAATGAAGTATTATTGACAGTTTACATAATCCAGATCTAAATGTCATCGTGTTAGGTCAGGTGACCCCTTACAAGAGCAAGAAGGAATGTTATCTTTTAAGGAGTCATCTTGTTGATGCTAGGAGAATGTTGCTGTTTATGGTTGGGCAGGTATTCCTGCTAATGGGGGCAGGTATTCCTGCTAATGGGGAAGGTTTGGTCAATGCATGATGCAGATACACTATGCACAGTGGCGGGAGAGAGAAGAGGCCAAAGGGCAGAGAAGAAATTTTTATGTTTAAAATTTTCTTGTCTTGCCATAAAATATGAATTTTATTTCACACTCCCATTTCTTTCCAATTAATTCCTTCTTAAGACGAGTTTGCCTACTTCAGTTTACAGACAGTCCTTATTGCTTGCAATTGAAGTACCTTAACTGATGCCCCATTCTTCAGCTCCCAGTTTAAATGATGCCTCCTCAAGGAGGCTTATCTGGCCGTTACCCAAAAACTCGGTTGGCCTCTTGGTGGGTGTTGAGCCAAAACACACAACCAAGCCAAAGATTGGGAGAAGGAAGAATTAATTACCTGCAGCAAGTAAGGAGAGCACCAGGGGTCTTTCCCAAAGCAGTCCCCTGGAACTGCAAAATTGGGGAAATTTTAAGCTAAGGATAAATGCATAATCATGAAGGGGCTTGGGCAGAGGAGATTCAGCATAGAATTGGGGCAAAGGTAGACAGAGTCTAAGCTTTAGTTGATTGAAGTAATGAGGGTCTGAAAAGGTCAATATCATCATCCCTTAGGTTCCAGTTGATCTGGTAGTTGAGCACTTCAGGCTAATCTTTACCACTGAAACAAAACTGGGAGTCTTTATAAATCATATATTATCTTTGCTATTGTTCCTTCTCTTGCCTGATAACGGTCACTTGTTCCTGCATTCTTTTTTTCCCTTAAGATCATTCATTAGAGACCTGTTCAAGGATAAGCATCGTGGCCAGGCTTGGATCACAAAATGGCTTAGATCAAAAATGGCTTCTCTTATGTCAAGAAAGCCATGCCTGCCTCTCTTTCTCCAGGGACCCCCTACCCTATCTGTTTACATGACTGCTTTCTCTAAAGTAGGTCCCTTTCCCTTTTCCTGCCATTATTGTTTTTATCTCAGCACTTCGGCACTTAACACAACTTGTAATTACTTTTTTTTTCTATGTTGTTCTCTGTCGCCCCACTGTGTCCCTTTTCTTCACCACTACATCTCCATCGCCTAGCACACTGCCCGTCATTGGATAGACAAGAAATAAATATCTGGTGTTAAATGAATCAAACAGTGGTGAAGAATGACTCAGAGAGTTCCGAAGTGACCGACTAAATGTATTGGTGGAGAGTGGGAATACAGGAACGGTTAGACACCATTTGGAGGAAGGGATCAGAAGATGATCAGTTTTGTTTGCACATGTTGAATTTGAAGTTTTGAATAATTTCAACGTGACACCTAGTAGGCAGCTTGAAACAAGATCTGGAGCTCTGGAAGGAGCATCACATTGGAGCTATAGTTTTGATAGCCTTGAGAATTGATGAGGTCACTCATGAAGATCATGGCAAGACTACACAGAAGGTTTACGAAGGAACTACAAAGAATAATATTTAAACAGTGGGCAGAAAGATCAGCAGAGCTTTCGAGGACCCAGCAGAGGCTGTTAACAAGAACCAGGGAGAAGAAACCTTCGGGGAGGAGGTAGTGGTCACAAGTGGTTCAGTTGGGGCGGGGTGGGGGGTGGGGGGAGGTAAATTATGTCACATAAGTCTGAAAGAGTCCCTTAGAACTGCCAATTAGGAGACTTAGATGTGGTAGCTTTAGAACAATTTCATTGGGTTGGTGGGCTGTGGTCTGAAGATAGAATGTTAGGAAGTGATTGTAGTAATTGTAGAACATGATTTCAGGAAGTGCCGCTATGAAAACAACATTTTATTTGGAAAGAGAGACAAGGTCAAAGAAGAGTTGAAAGAAAGCTCAGAATGTCTTTATATGAGAGAGAGAGAGAGAGAGAGAAAGAGAAGATGAGTGTGGAAATGATTGATGGAGGAATTTCGACCTACTGGGTCTAAGATAGGAAGAGACAACAAAGAGTTGCCCTCCCTTGAAGATGTAAAGATGAATTTTAGAGAAGGGCAGAGTAACAAGGAGTTGAGGTTTTTCTGATGACCTTTAATTTATTTATCAAGATAAAGGAGGGAGCAGAGTTACCTGCTGCAAGAGAGGAGGTTGAGGGGGAAGTTTGGACCGGTTTCTAAGAGAGAAGGGGGATGGAAAAACATTGCCGGTAGGAGACAGAAAATGTCAGCTGATTGCAAATCTATCATCGCTGGAAATTCTTTTTCCTTCTTCCCCTTTATGCCTTCCTAACCTAGTCTTGTTCCAAAAAGACTTCAGGCTGCCAAATCGTAACTTTTGCACAGTCTATTCAGATACTAGATTTTTTCCCCCCCAACAGTCATGGGCAACGAACACGTGGGGACAGCGAAAACAGACGGCTCCCGCACATTCCCTTCGTTCCAACAGTGAAAACTGAGCTGGCCTCCAGCACTTTTGCGGACCCCAACCTCCGCTACTGTGGGTTACACTCCTTCGTACAGCGAAGGCACCTCCTAAATGCTTGCTGTGGACAATGGGAGATTTAGGGACAGATGGTTCGGTTCCCTCGTGAATAACGTCCCCCCAACATGCAGCACGTATTTAAGGCCTGCTGAAGAAAGGCAATGCTGAGGGACCAAGGTATTGCCTTTACTTTTGTGCTCGCTGCGTGTCCGGACGCAACGCCTACGAGCATTAAGCGCAAACCGACCAACGTTCCAAGCAAAACAGCGGGAGCCGAGGCCGGAACAGGGAAAGTAGCTTGTTCCTTGCTCGCAAACCACCAAGGCAGGACGACAACCCCGCCCCGATGACATCACATGTTCATCAGCCTCGAGGCCACCTTGCGTCGGGCGTGTCTTATCCCGCTACAGCCTCAGCCTCGCCCCGCCCCAGGTGACGTCACCGCGCCACAACCTCTAGTAACTCGTTGTAGCAATTCTCATCGCCGGGCGCGGTGGCGCGCGCCTGTAGTCCCAGCTACTCGGGAGGCTGAGGCAGGAGGATCGCTTGAGCCCAGGAGTTCTGGGCTGTAGTGCGCTATGCCGATCGGGTGTCCGCACTAAGTTCGGCATCAATATGGTGACCTCCCGGGAGCGGGGGACCACCAGGTTGCCTAAGGAGGGGTGAACCGGCCCAGGTCGGAAACGGAGCAGGTCAAAACTCCCGTGCTGATCAGTAGTGGGATCGCGCCTGTGAATAGCCACTGCACTCCAGCCTGGGCAACATAGCGAGACCCCGTCTCTTTTGTTTGCCCCTCCCTCATTTAAGGAAAACCTATATCTTCTAAATCCGTGTATTTCCCCTAAACAAATAACAAATGTTTGCCTTTTACCAGATTCATACTTTTTACGAGTTCAGTAGTTCACTAATGTGTGCATTAAAAGTTGACGAGATATAACTGGTCTTTATTACTGACTCTCTCTTCCCACTGTTTTACGCTTGCCTCCTATTTTACGTTCCTTTACAGTTAAGACTCACCGGGTAAGTTGGATGCTCGGGTAGTTGTAGCCACCTCATCGCTGACCCCTACTGGAGAATCGTCAAAACGTCTTTGCGAAAAGCTGTTATCACCCTCGAAGCCAGCAGGGGATGCTCGTTTTCTCACAACCTGTTGGAGAAAATGGCTGCCCGGCATCAGTGCAAAAAGTTCATCTCCGAGGCCAGATTTCCTAAGTTCTTCCCACGGCGGTCCAATTTGCTACTTTGTTATCGCCATTTCCCTTACCTAACCCGGACCTTCCCTGACAGGGTCACCTTCATTCACCACTCTCCTGTCAAGGTTTTTGCTTTTAACTGTTGCTGGCGGAAGATCTGGCTTTTATCCGAATCCTTACATTCTGCCCATTTACAGATAGGGCTGACCTTCCGACGGGGAACCCGGATACTCCCTCCTTGTAGGGGAAAAAGCAATCCAAGAGGAGCCCAGGCGTCCCTGTGAAAGCCGAGGTGACGGGGCAGCGTGGCAGAATGCCGTCAGCCTGTCGCTCCCCTTGGTTCTCGGATTGCCAACAGCTAACGTTAGAGGTGGAATTGAAGTGCAGGCAATTCGAGCATTGGGTGGGCTTGGGTCTGGAACTCAGTTGATGAGAGCAACTCCTGAGAGCCCTCCACTGAGCTATGTAAGGCAAGTGTTATCTTTATCTCGCTTTTAAAAGAAATAAGTAAATAAGGTATGAACGAAGAGAATCTTTAAAATTGCCTGAAGTTTTTGGTGGTCTGCGGTAGTAATTTCATCTTTATGAAAGATCTGTCTTAGAGCAGGGGTCCCCAACCCCCGGACCGCGGTCCGCAGCCTGTTAGGAACCCGGCCGCACAGCCGGAGGTGAGCGGCGGGTGAGCGAGCGAGGCTTCATCTGCCGCCCCCCATCGCCCCCCATCACTCGCATTACCGCCTGAGCCATTCCGCCACACACTCGCCCCCCACCCCGGTCCGTGGAAAAATTATCTTCCTCGAAACCTGTCCCTGGTGCCAGAAAGGTTGGGGACCTCTGTCTTAGAGGATTCCTTTTTAGATTTAGGCATTTTAGGGGCAGTGGAAATTGATCAAGCATTCACATCAGTCTTAAAATTAATCTGATAATCTATTGGGCATTTAAAGGCTCTGAACACAGACTTTCACAACTTCTAAAATGAAGAGGAAAGGGGACAATGTAGTAAGCTTTTCATAAAAACTAATTGTATTCAATTTTTTTTAGGTGACTCATTCCATTTGAACAAACATAACTGTTAGAAAAGGCCCTTCTTGAGTTGCACAGACTTCTTCCCCCCGGTTGCTTCTGGGTCTGCCCTCTACAACTATGTGGAATAAATCTTTTTCCAATTATTCAGGAAAATTTTTCAAGAATGTAAAAGTCACCTCCAAATGAGTGCATTTTCACCAAATATTAATATATAGAGATGCTTTTTAACTTTTTTAATCTTTACCCAACTTCACCCAAAAAACGGGAAGCAAAATACTTCTGACATGTCTCATTTGTTTTTCACTAAATAGATCCCTGAATTTGACCCAGAATGACTTAGCTGTGGATGTAAGGACTGCATTTGAGTAGCCACCTTTGTTAGCCCTGGGGTTCCTACCCACCTTTGGTGTATTCCACCCTCTGGGAGAACTTCTCAGGTTTGCGGAACTGAGGTGTGGTAGGCAGGATAATGCCCCCCCCCTACAAAGAAGTGAACTTCCTAATACCTAGAACCTGTTGATAGGTTACCTTAGGAGGTGAAAGGGATTTTACAAATGTGAGTAAATTAAGAATCTTGAGATGGGAAGATTATCCTGGATTATCCCATTGGGCCCAATATAATTACAAGGATCCTTATAGGAGGGAGGCAAAAGGGTCAGAGAAGAAGATGTGGCCTGGAAGCAGAGATTAGAGCCATGCAGGGTTGCCAATCAAGGAATGTGAACAACCTCTGGAAGCTGGAAAAGGCAAGGAAACAGATTCTCCCCTAGAGCTTCCAGAACAACTGCATCCATGCTGACCTATTTGGGACTTCTGACCTTCAGAGTTGTAAGATAATACATTTGTGTCGCTTAAGCCACTCAATTTGTGGTAATTTGTTACAGCAGCAATAGAAAACATCTACAAGGTTAGTCTGTACCTGAAAAAACTTGTGAGATCAGAAAGGAATCATTCCAGTAACTGTCTTCTTTAAAATGCTTGTACTTTTTTTTTTGAACTTTTCATGTTCAGCAAGTTTTCAGGCTCAATCTTTTTCGTGTGTGTATGTGTCTTTCTTTAAAGCATAATATTTTAGCAATTCATCATCTATTCATCTATCCATCCATCCACTCATTTATTCATCTATCCATTTTTAAAAAGTTATGTGCCAAATATTTACGAGATCCTATGTTGATACTAGATAATCAGAAATAATATAGTCCAAGCCATTGCCTTTGTAGAGCTTCAGGTCTAGTGGGAGGGAGGGGCAACAGTCATTTTAAAATGGGCCACCTAAGGTGACTTAAGTTCTCATGATCCCTGCAGAGTATATCTAATTCATTAGCCTGCCTGAATGCCTGAAATAGCCAACACCAAAAACTCTCTCCTGGGTTAAAGCATGGTTTTCAGAAGGCCACTGTTACAAATGCACTTTGTTTGGCATTTACTCGACACCATTACTGAATACATAATTTAACCATCCACCCAATACTTGGTTATACTTTACAATTTCCTACAACATCCATGAAAGAAGTTCAATATATCATGCAGCTGACCATACTTTTTTTTTAAGCCTTTAATTTTGTTAATGGTGGCATATTTTAGACATACAGCAACTTTAAAGTTTTATGTTTTCAAACTTACTAAACCTTATCCTTTATGGTTTCTGCTTTTGGTGTTTTGCTTTGAAGGATCTCACCCATTCCAAAGACATATAAATAATGACATTACTGTTTAGGACTCTTTTATCTTTGGCATACACACATCCCTGATTAAAAAATAATGCTTGGTCTCTCCAAAACAATGCATTTTTGTCCTTTACTTTGCTTTACTATTAATATTAGAACACTTTCTTTTAAAACATTTTTTTTGCTTAAATTTGCCTATTGTTTGTGTTGTCTATAGGGTATACTGTAGATCAAATATTTGTGCCCCCTCAAAATTCCATATGTTGAAACCAATCCCCAATGTGATAGTATTTGGATGTGGTGTCTTTGGGAGGTGATTAGGTCATGAAGGTGGAGTCCTCATGAGTGGGATTAAGTGCCCTTATAAAAGAAACCGTAGAGAGCACCTTTGCCCCTTCCACCACGTGAGGTCACAGCAAGAAGACAGCTGTCTATGAACCAGGAAGCAGGTCTTCACCAGACACACATCTGTGGGCATCCTGATCATGGACTTCCCAGTCTCCAGGATTGTAAGAATAAAGTGTTCCTCGTTTAAGCCACCCAGACTATGGTATTTTTGTTATAGCAGGCTGAAGGAACTAAGACAGTGAACAACAAACTACTCCAAAGCTTACTTGCTTGAAATAACAACTATTTTATATCTCATTATTTTGAGTGTCAGGAATTTGGACAAAGTTCTGCTGGACTATTCTTCTGCTCCAGGTGATATTGATTGTGGTCACTTGGTGGTATTCAGCTGATGGCTGATCTAATCTGGAGGGTCCAAGATGCCTTAATTCACATGCCTGGTACCTTGGCAGGCTTGTCTGTAAAACTGCATTCAGTCAGGCCCATCTGCCTCTCCAAGTAGTCGGAAGGCCTCTCTGTGGCAGGTTGTGAGATTTCTTACATAGCGATTCGGGCTTCAAGAGACCAAGTTGGAAGCTACCAGTCCTCTTAAAGGCTAGAGACAGAAATAGCATAGTATCACTTCTGTCTGCTGTGCTTTATTACTTAAAGCAGTCACAGGCCAGCCTAGATTCAAAGGTGTGGAGAAAACAGAACCTACTCTATGGGTGTGAAAGAATTTGTGGCCAGGACTTCCCTGGTGATCCAGTGGTTAAGACTCTGTGCTTCCATTGCAGGGGGCACGGGTTCAATTCCTGGTTGGGGAATTAAGATGCAGTGCTGCGTGGTCAAAGAAAAAAAGAATTTGTGACCATTTTAAAACCCCATCACATGTATCCATTACCTTTTTATTTTTCCTTAACTTTTGTGAGATATGTCATACATAAAGACACAAATGTAATGTAAAGTTTAAAGTGTTTATAAAGTGACCGACTATATAACTGGTATTCAGAAATAGAACTTGCTAGCATCCTAGAAGCCCATACCCAAATACCCTTCCCTCTTGGACATAACCATTATTCTAACTTTGTGACATTATCTTGTTATACTTTATGGTCTTACCACCTGTGTATGCATCTCTAAATAGCTATGCCTTCTTTGAACAGTGTTGACTTCTAGGAAGTTCTTCATTGTATTAAGACAATTTACTTCCCTGAAATCTTCTCTCTTTAGTAGTAACTATAACCCTAGGGGTTACAGATAACAAATCAAACATTTCTATCCATCAACACCTCAACCATTTCTTACACTGCATGGTTTCAATCTCATTTCACCTTTCTGCTTGTCCAGTTTGTGTATCTTTCTTGGAAAGTATGATTCCCAATACAGAGCATAATATTCTATCTCTGGTTTATCATCTAAGCATAGGACTGGAATATCTCATCTCTTATTCTAGATCTCAAACTTCTATTGAGAAAGCCAAATAACACTGATGCCTAATGCTGACTTTATGAGACTAAAATACATAATATAAAACAATGCCAGGAGCTTAATTTATGGCTAGTGAATAAATAAATGGGTGAATAAAAAAAACTTGTAAAAATTTGCCAGACTGGAATATTGTGCAGTAGGGAACTCCCAGGCTCTGTCTGTCCCTCTCAGAAGCAATGAATAAGCTGGCAAAAACTGTCAGAATCATTTTTTCAGAACTTTAGAAGCTAGGTTTAAAAACCTACAGCAAGCAGGGAAATGTTTAATGAAGACCAAAAACGGCAGAATTTCAGTACCAGAGCTCTGTGGCATTTTCATTTTCTCTGTTACCGTTCCCCACTCCTCAGTTCAGCAGTAAGAGATGCCCTAAGGGATCTCGTATTCTTGGTTCACTCTTCCTTCCTTCATTGTGGAGTAGCAATCAGATTTCTCCTTAGTAGTCAGGACAAATCACTGCAGCCCATGTAGCAACTCCCTTGTTTGCCTTTGATTCAGAGGCATGAAGAGCCCAAAGTGACTAGGCAGTAGTCTAAACTTTTAGTTCCATGGAATGATCATTGTGTCTCCTGGAGGAAGCATTTCTCCCCTTAGAACTGAGACCTCTAGGCCAGCAGATTTCGAGACCATGAGGAACAGGAAGCAAATTTTTTGCTAGAGAGTTACTAGGGGTAATAGTGAGAGGTGCCACTCCCATTTCCAGCCCTTTCTTCCTGGATTCATGAATATTGGCTATGGGCGAAACAGCACCGTGTATTGGACACTGAGTCAGAGCATATACAACTTCCTGGAGAACCTTGCCTCAGCCCTGCAAAGTATTGGCACCCAGCTGTGTTGTAACTGAATCTTTGAAAGGTCATGCTATCGTTCTATCAAGTCAGCTGCTTCAGGATGGTGGGGAAAATGGTAAAACCAGTGAAATCCATGAGCACGGGCCCATTGCTACACTTCATTTGCTGTGAAGTGAGTTCCTTGATTAGAAGCAATGCTGAGTGAAATACCATGATGGTGGAAAAGGCATTCTGTAAGCCCATGGATGGTAGTTTTGGCAGAAGCATTGCATGTAGGGTAGGCAGATCTGCACCCAAAATATATGTCTAATCCAAACAAGGAAACTTTGCCAATAAGTTTTGGCAAAAATATCTTGCCAATAAGTATAGAGTAGTTGCTACTTCTTTTCCTCAGGTCCAGTCAGCATGGTGTCATCAGTGTAATGGACCATGTGATATCCTGTAGAAGGGAAGGATGATCAAGGTCCCTGTGAACTGAATTATGATATAGGGATGGAGAGTTGATACTCCTGAAGTAGGACAGTGAAGGTGTGTTTCTGGCCTTGCAAGCTGAAAGTAAACTGCTTCTGGTGGTCTTTCTAATAGAGATGGAGAAAAAGACATTGCCAGATCAACAGCTGCATAGCAGGGACCAGGGGATGTGTTAATTTGCTCAAGCAATGAAACCACATCTGGTATAGCAACTCCTATTGGAGTCACCACCAGGTTAGCTTTACAACAATGCACTGTTATTCTCCAAGATCTATCTGTCTTCTACACAGGCCAAATAGGTGAGTTGAATGGTATGTGCTGGGGATCACCACCCCTGCATCTTTCAAGTCCCTGATGGTGGCAGTAATCTCTTCAATCCTTCCAGGAATGCAGTATTGCTTTTGGTTTACTATTTCCCTACATAGAGACAGTTTTAGTGGCTTCCACTTGGCCTTTCGCCCATAATTGCCCTCATTCTACAGGTCAGGAAACCTGCGTGGGGATTCTGCTGGTTGCTGAGTATAGGGGTTCCACTTATGAGTTCCAGCACTGGGGAAATACCCACATGATGCATTTGAGGACCCACTGGGCCCACTGTGAGACAGATCAGAGCTGAAACTCCATTGACCACCTCCTGACTTCCATAAGCCCCTACTCTTGACTGGACCACAGCGATGTTTTGAGTCTCCTGGAATTAGTGTCAGTTCAGAGCCAGTGTCCAGTAATCCCTCCAAAGCCTGATCATTTCCTTTTCCCCAGTGCACAGTTATCCTGGTAAAAGGCCATAGATCCCTTTGGGGAAGCCTGGGAGAAAGATTAACAGTATGCATTTTTGGCAGTGTCCTTCCTCAAGGGGAGCCATATTTCCTTTCATACAAGGGGTCCTGGTTCTATAAACTGGCTCAAGTCTGGGAACTGAGGGAAAGACTATGACTCTGTTTTTATCATTTTCGTTCACTTGAGCTACTACTCTTTTGCTGATACAGACCAAGTAAGAATTTAGTAAGCTGCCCGTACATTTCACTTCTAGGAACACCGTGATCAAATAGACAGCACTATCGGTCTCCATGAGTCAGACTACCCTGATTGCTGCTTTGACTCTGCCGTCCACTATGATAATCACACCCAGCTTGCCTCTGGACATGGGGTGCTGCCATTGGACTCTGCCACTCAGGCTCCAATTACTCTCCTTGCATTCAGGCTTCCCAATTCAGTGGCAGCAGTTCCCACCGTAAGTTCTGGCCTGCAGAGAAACGTGGTCACAGAGCTCTTCAAGGGTGCTGAGGATCCCCTCACAGATTTATTTCTCACCGTTGTGGGGAAAGGAGTGTCCTCTGGGCCAGGGTAGGCCGCCCCAAAATGTGCCCCAAAGGCATATTGATTATTTTGAATTACAGTTACTTAAGAAATGGCCAACACAAGAGAGATACTCTCACCCTCCTTTTCCCTGAAAGCAGGAAATAATCTCTCATGTGAAAGGTACATTCCCTGCATCTGAAAGTAGAAGGATACCTTTATCACCAGAGATAGGTAATTCAGGCTGAGAAGTCTGTATAAATGAACCTTGTTACTTCCCATATTCTGTTTAGATTCTTCACTAATTAGCGCCCCAAACCTAAGTTTCCTTATCCTGTCAATTCCTTACAAATTTATTTGTCTAAAAAGTATAAAAGCTGCCTGCTTTGGCCACTTCTTAGGTCCCATTTCTAAGAGACCTCCATGTGCATTAATTAAAATTTGGGTTTTTTTTTCCCCTGTTAATTTGTCTAGCGTCAATTTTATTATTAATCCAGCCACAAGAACTCAAAATGGATAGAAGGGGAGATTTCCCCCCCGATGCTACGCATCGAATATTTCTACGAGTGGAAAGTAAAATTAATAAATTATATCTTATTCTGAATGAAACTATATTGGTTCCTAATGATTGACCCTTCATCATTGACCACTTCATCTTCTAGAGATCAGTAAACTTCCAAGTATGCGCTCCAGGTCCCTTTCATCTTGGCACTTACAAATGCAGATACCTTGAGCCAAAGTTAAGGAATGATTCAAAATCTCCTGGTGTGGTGTCCAGGAATTTGCTTTGATTATCTCCATAGTAATCAGTGAATCACACTAAGACTTGAGAATCACAGCCCTAGATGCCCATAAGGCATCCATTAATAATTACCTCTAACTTTTTGGTTGGGACAAATGCCAATGGCACCTGTTTGGATTTCAGATATTCACCTTTATCTTCTCTTTGAAAATTGGAAGATGATTTTCCCATTTCCTGTTGCCTCTTATTTTTCCCACAAGTCCTTAAGTATCCCTGGTTCAGAATTTTTTCAAAGTAGAGAAATTATTCCAAAACCCAGAAATGATAGAATTAATAGTAAATGATACAGTTTCTTTATCATTTTTACACTTATCTTCATCTCCTTCTCCCCCTTATGTATTTTCTTGCATTTTACTTATGATGCTCATTTTCCTTGACAGAGCAGAAGCAATGTATGGGTTAGTCAAGTGGCTGACTGTCTCAAGTATACCTTAAATTAGTATCCTGCTCCTATCTCATGGGTTTAGGGCCCTAAAGTGGGAGTTTTGATATGAAGTATTTCAGTTTTTGTTTATAAAGAAGCATCTGAGTGTTGTCCCTTTCAATGTGGAGTTTATACATGGGTTGCTTTTATGCAAAATATTTAGGCATTATTTGGGTAATGCCTTCAGAGCCAACATAAGAACCTTAGCATTGTTTATGTACAGTTAAACCTCTCGCTTTTACTGTTTGCACTACAGTCGACTTGGTTCTCAGTCTTCCCTAAACCCTCCAAATGGTTTATTCCATATTTTGAGCTATTCTGCATGATTTTCTGTGCCATATGTCGCATTAATTCTGCACTGTACCTGCTACAGTAGTCCCCTTAGCGTCTACAATGATGTTTCTTCTGAAATGTCAACCGAGCTCTTTTTACTTAGAGTCGCCATCTGCTGGTGGGAATTCTGCTTGCCACTACTTGTAGCCCATAGGCTCTAGAATCCTCCTACGTCCAGATTCCTTGCCGGGCGCGGTGGCGCGCGCCTGTAGTCCCAGCTACTCGGGAGGCTGAGGCAGGAGGATCGCTTGAGTCCAGGAGTTCTGGGCTGTAGTGCGCTATGCCGATCGGGTGTCCGCACTAAGTTCGGCATCAATATGGTGACCTCCCGGGAGCGGGGGACCACCAGGTTGCCTAAGGAGGGGTGAACCGGCCCAGGTCGGAAACGGAGCAGGTCAAAACTCCCGTGCTGATCAGTAGTGGGGTCGCGCCTGTGAATAGCTACTGCACTCCAGCCTGGGCAACATAGCGAGACCCCGTCTCTTTTGAGTTCTTATCTTAAAATAGGCTTTCTTCCCACGTATATATCACAACAAAAAGTACCATGTTTACATTCTTGCACGACTGATTTCCCACTGCATCGTGAATTCCTTTGGCGGGGCAATATTGTCTTATTTTTATTTTTAATCTTACTTCACCATTACCTAGCGAAACAATTGAATATTCAGGTTGCCAAGCATTAATGGAGCCCCTATTGTATGCCAGGTACTATGCTGAGCCCAGGGGATCCCAGTACCTAGATTGGATGAGAATCCCACAATACACCACAAAATGCTCTTCGGAGAGCAAGACATCAGAATAGGAACTCCTTTTTGAGGGTTCATTTGCTTTGATCATTGAGGGTAACTGTAGGGTGTATGAAATAGTCCACTTCGTTAAATTTCAACACTGTGCACGTCAGGGAAAGGGGTCGTTGCTCCTGTACACAGAGTCCCACCTGGGGAAATCCTCCCAGTGCGCTTCTTGTAAATTGTCTTGACCCGCAGGGGTCACTGTGGAGGCTGGCTTGAGTCCCGAAACGCAAGGGAGCAAAGTAACCGGCCTAGTCCATAAGCTTTCCAGGAAGGAATGAAGTTTCAAGAAAATAGTTTGGATCTATTTCGAATTGTTTTGGTACAACGAAAAGGGAGCTGACGACGGACTTGACAGCCGAACGCTGCACAGAAGTGACGAAAAGCAGTTCGCTTCAAGGAATATTGGGTCTTCTGCGCGGCCGTAAATCCGCCAAGTGCGCCTGCGCATAAGAGTAGCCGCGTTGAGTCAGGCCAGCGGTGGAGGAAACTGCGGTAGAGACCCTCAAGCCTCGCCATGAAAACCCGTTTTAGCACCGTTGACCTCCGCGCGGTACTCGCGGAGCTGAATGCCCGGTACTGTATGACGGGTGACCAGGCTCGTGCGGGTGGTGCAGGAGGCAGCATGGCCCCACCGTGGAAACAAGAACGGCCTTATGTTTCCCCTGGGTCCCCCCGGTCCTGTTCTTCTGTGGACCTGGCTAGGCCTGAGTGGGCGAGCGCGTGACATCTTTCCGTGGCCCTCAGGATACCGGGGGGACCCCGGCTGTCGCGTGCCCCACTCCCCGCTCTCGTGGGCTGCTAGTCTCGCCAGGTCTTGCGTCCGGCTTTGGCGGGGCTCTCGGCCTGTCGGCGTGAGTCGCCCGGGTCTGGCAGCAAACGTTTAGTGAAAGACGAGACGCCAGGTGGAGGACGCCAGTGTAGTCATTTGCTTCAGAGGTTTCCAGACCAGAGGCTTGGTTTGTTAGACGCTCCTCCTCACCGCAAAGAAAGGCAGCATCGCCTTAAGGCCGGAGTTAACAGATTTGGCCTGAGGTCTGCATTCTAATCTGCTTTCTATTATTCAGCTGTGTGAGCTTTGTCATATTTCTCAGGGCCTCGTTTACATATTTTCTTTTATAATTAAGTGGGTTAGATTTTATTGTATTTCCTAAAATATATATTGGATCACTTAAAAGACTCAAGGCATTGTATAGTGTTCCTAGAGCTGATAGACCACTTTCGTTCTTAAATAGTTACACTCAAGGTTTGGGCTCAATGTCTGATGGCCTTCAGACTGCACACTGGTTGACTCCTGCATCTTTAGAGTCAAAGATCCCCCCTTTCGCCGTCTCTGCTTTCGCCTACAGCTTTAAATTGTGTGAAGTTTTATGTTTCAAATGGTAGTATGATTTGTTACATGTTTCCTTTCTCTTTGCAGCTTGCTAGGAATGAGAGTAAACAATGTTTACGATGTGGATAATAAGACGTATCTTATTCGTCTTCAAAAGTAAGAGCATTTTATAGGCTTGTTTTATCTTTTGTATAATTAAATATGAGCTTGTTTGTTTTTTTTAACCTGAGTTAATGCTGCCCTAAAAATTTTTTGACTTTTTTCTTTTACAGACCAGACTTTAAAGCTACACTTTTACTTGAATCTGGCATACGAATTCACACGACAGAATTTGAATGGCCTAAGAATATGATGCCGTCTAGTTTTGCCATGAAGGTAAGTTTTAAGTTATACTTGAAGCTAAATTTTAAGGCCCTGAGATTGGTCACTAACAATTGAAATTATAAATGGGTTTTTCTTCACTGTTATAAATAAAATAGAGATAAAATAGAGTAGTTGATAGATACTGGTTGAATAAAGGAGATGTTTATTAACTTCTCCCTTTTGCCCTTCACGCCACTTTGTGCGCCACATCTTTATGTTCCCACAGTTACCGTTCTAACTCAGGCTTTTATAATGCTGGACATTATAGCCATTTAACTCTAATACTCTTCTCACTATCAAAACAATTCTGTATTAGACCGACATTGGTTTTTCTAAAGCATCATTTTCATTAGTTTTCCCACCTTTTATGATTCTCTAATTGCTGAGTCCATATCCTATACCGCAGCATTCTTGGCTTTCTGTAATCTGCCCTCCTCCCTCCTTCCCTAGCCTTGTCTTCCACAGCTCACTTTTCAGCTACCAATCTGTATTTTGTTGGAATACTCAGTGACATTAGTATGCTACCAACCATATCTTTTTACTTTTCACTTCTCTTTTTGTTTTTACTATTAAAACTGAGATCCCACATTTGTGGATGTATTACCCTTTCGCTTATTGACACGAGATATACTGAAAAGCTCATGATGCAGAGGAAAGACATTAGAGTCAGATATACCTAACTTTGAATTAATGGTTTTGCTGCTGAATAATTTTATAACCTGGAAATTTTACTTAATCTCTTGGAACTTGTTTCTTTAAATGTGAAATGTAGATAATGCCTCCCTCATGGGGTTATTGGTGAGGATTAATTGAAGTTACATGTAAAGCACCTAACACAATGCCTGACACATAATAGGGCTCCATATGTATTAATTTCCTTCTTCCTCTCCTCCTCACTTTCCTTCAGAAATTTATTTGTTTTGGCATTGTGTTATTTCATTAGAGGCTTTACAGAGAAGATCCTTATCCCCAGCAACTTAGAATCTGTTTTGGATTACACGTTAGGTAAGTGTTTCCCAAATCACAAGGCCTGTCACAAAATTATCAAATTCTTAAAAGTTTAATTTACTTAACCCCAAATGGTTCTATTTTGGGGATTGTCCTTAATAATAATGACACTTTATATTTGTATAGTACTTTTCAAAGAATAATGCATACTTCATTTAAGTTGTTTAATAACTTGGATATGAAGAACTAATATTGTTTCAGTTTTACATATGATATAACAGATAATAAGATATATGATACTGGGACTGTATAAACATCCCCAAACGAGGCTACATCAATAGGAGGTCAGACACTCAAAAAAAAAAAAAACTTAGAATTTAATGAGTTAGGTGTACATGTAAATCTAAATGTGTATAAAAATTCTCTTCAGTGGAGCAGTGCTTAACTCTTCAGTGTTAAGTGATTTATAAATAACTAAAAGAGCTGCTACTGTTGTATGTCACAGGCAGGGTCATGTTTAGTATGTGGTAAATCAGTGATTGTTCCTAATTCTCACATTTGGGGATGCCAGCTGTAGCTTTGTGGCACTGACAGAAGCTTGTTTTCACCAAGCTGCTAGTAGGGAAATAAAGAAAAAACAAGTTTTACATATGTATTATATGTCCATCTATACCCATGATAATTTTCCGTTTTTCACCATTCCGTGGTGTGGACTTCTGTTCCATTCAAGGATGCCTTTTATCTTCATTTTAACTTTATTTTTCTCAAAATATTACTGGGGGAATTGATTATGATTTTCACCTGGAGATTTAAAGGCAGCCCTGAATGTAGGTCACTGTTTAAACCAAAATTAATATAGGCCACTTTTAAATGAGAACTATTGAATTTAGGAGGGAGAGATTATTCTATGAAGGTTGAAAAGTCTTACATCTGCCTGAATATATGTGAGTATATAATTCTGCCTGAATACATAAAATGAGAATTCAATTTGAACTGTAGATCTGGAGAAGAACTCTTCTTAGTTATGAAAAACTTGGCATTAATTTGAAGAATGACCCTGTATATTCTTCTTCTCCTTTTTTTTAAGATGGTTTTAGTTTAAATTCTCTGTAAAATTTGTTTTGGATTTGAGGCTTGAAGAAAAGAAAGCATTCTTTCTTTCTGGTCTTGACTAAGGGATCTTTCAAATTCAAATTTAGAAACAATTGTAAAAATTTTTTTTAGGAGCTACAGAGTAGTCTTGTTTTTGGTCCATGTCATACTTAAATATTTGTACATGTAATATAAAACAGTAGGTATTTACCAAGTAAATTGTCTTTGGGTTTAACATGTTAATTTTATTTTAATTGTTTATAAGAACAAGAACATTATGACTAGGGATAAGAAGAATGGGATTTGATAAAGGATAGGAGTTACTACATTTGGATTTGAGCTAGGTTGTTCAAAAGCCTGGAGATAGTACCAGAAAAATTCTGTTTGGGTTTTATTAATAAAGTTTGTGGGAATAGAGGGTAATTGGTTGTAAGTTGGAGGACTAATTTATAGAATTCCAATAAGCTCCTGGTTCAGAATTTGTATTTGAAGTGAAAGATTAGTGGAAACCACTAGTTAATCTTGAACACAAACACACGAAAGGAAATTTGGGATACTCAAAAAATTTCAGTAGAAAGAGGCTTAAAAAAAAGTTACAGCTTTGTGTGAGGTGCTCAGAATAAGAACGGATTTATTTAGCAGTGTTATAAAGCAACAACGTAAACTTCGCTATAGGTCTCTTATTGTCTACTTAAAAATTGGATATAAAATACTGTTTCAGAGTTAGCAGAGTTGTCTGAAATAAAATGTGTTTCCTCTGATTATGACTCTGTAAGTTTTAATTTTGACTATACTGTTTTATCTGTTAGTCTTAAGATGTTATTCTTGATGGAAATGAAAAGAAGAAACTTAATTATAAACCAATACTGAATGATTAGGAATTCACTTTTACTATATAAATGCCTTTTTTCTTCTCTTTCTTGCTAGTGCCGAAAACATTTGAAGAGTCGGAGATTAGTCAGTGCAAAACAGCTTGGTGTGGATAGAATTGTGGATTTTCAATTTGGAAGTGACGAAGCTGCTTATCACTTAATCATTGAGCTCTATGACAGGGTAAGTTAAATTTGGGGGATGGGGTGAGGAGAATTATTATATTGTTAATTATTCATGTAATAGTGCTGTCAGACATGGGCAGGGAACATTTTTTTCTTCTCAAAGGCCATCGATACACTAGGATAATAAAGTGCAACACGAGTAAAATGTAATTTTCCATTAATCTTCCTTTTTATCTGGAGGCCAGAATTTAGGCAGACTGTAGCCATTTAAAATAGCATTTGAGGGACTTCCCTGGTGGTCCAGTGGTTAAGACTCTGTGCTTCCACTGCAGGGGGTGCAGGTTTAATCCCTGGTCTGGGAACTAAGATCCTGTATGCCATGTGGCATGGCCAGAAAAAAAACAAAAACAATAATAAAATAGCATTTGAATGTAGGAGAGGAAGATCTGAGAACTGAAGAAATTATCTACTACTTTATATTTCAGGACTAGAGTGGTACAACCAGCAAATTGTCAAATAGTTTTGTCATAAATAAGACCACAGTTGAGACTCAGGGACGTTGCCGTGTTTTCAGTGTCATCAGTCGTAAGAGGAAGACTACTGATGGCCTCACCATTCTTGCTTCTTGCCTCTTAATCCTTCCATTTAGTTACCTGTTCTATCTGGGAAATGTTTCATGAGCTACCTACAGCAAAATAAGTTCCGTTTGCATCAAAAATTTAAATATAAAGAGTGAAACCATAGAAGTACTAGGTGAAAATATGGATTAAGATATATGAATTTGGGATGAAAAAGACTTTTAAGCCTAACAGTGAAAACAAATATTGATAGATATGACTGCTTAATTTTAAAGCTGTGTAAGGCAGAAAACACCATGAACTGTTGATACATATATCAAAAGTGAAAAACTGGGGAAAAATATTTTAACTTGTGTGGTAAATAAAATGCTCATAATCCTAATACATACCGCAAAAAAAAAAGAAAAGAAAAAAAAGAATGTACAGGGAGTTCCCTGGTGACCTAGTGGTTAGGATTCTGGGCTTTCACTGCTGTGACCTGGGTTCAGTCCTCGGTCAGGGAACCGAGATACTGCAAGCTGTGCAGCGTGGCCAAAAAAAAAAAAATAAGGGAGAGAATTTGAAAAAGGATGTACGGGAGCAAGGGTAGATTATTACTTTTTCTTTTTTGCGGTACGCGGACCTCTCACTGTTGTGGCCTCTCCCATTGCGGAGCACAGACTCCGGACGCGCAGGCTCAGCGGCCATGGCTCACGGGCCCAGCCGCTCCGCGGCATGTGAGATCTTCCCGGACCGGGGCACGAACCCGTGTCCCCTGCATCGGCAGGCGGACTCTCAACCACTGCGCCACCAGGGAAGCCCGCAAGGGTAGATTAGAACATTATTTTTGGAAGATTGTTTGACAGTATATAACATGATTTTTAAAGTTTATGTGCATAACCTTTGACGCAGGAATTCCACTTCCAGCAATTTATCATAAGAAACGTTTGAGGCAAGTGCTCAGGAAGGACCATACCAAGGATAGTCTTTATAGTGTTTATAATAGTTAAAACTTGGAAAGAAGCTAAATGTCTTTGTTTTTTTTGTTGTTTGTTGTTTTTTGCTTTTTCTCCATTTCTCTGTGACTGTCATCTCTTAAATGTTCCCATTTATTTCTTGCATAAGTCACTTGGGCTGCACTTATCACAGCTTTTAAGTGGAAATCGGTCCCTAGTTGTTCCTCATGTGTGGAATTTTTCAATTCTAGCTAGACTCCAAGCGACTCCATTATTCAAAGCTAAATTTCTATGAATAAGAGATTGGTTAAGTAATTAAGGGAGACCTGAATAATAGAATGTGTAATTTTTAAAAATAATATTGAGCTGTTTGTTTTTTCTTCTTTCTTATCAATGTTTTTTACCACATGCTTTTAATCATTTTAAGGTTTTTGTTAGATATATGGCACATACATTATAAGTGTGCACTTTAGTGAACTATTAGAAATGGACATACTTGTATTAGTTATTTACCTGGATGTGGGACCGGGACAGTGAGACCACCTGCTGATCCTTGCACTTGTCTTTAATTGTCTGTGCACTTCTCTTTGCCTCTAATTCCTTCACCCATCTTTCTGCCCCCCCTCCCCTGCAGGCAGCAGCAGCTACAGCTGCAGTGGCTGCTCTCCTGGAATTGATTTTTGTATGTGGTCTCAGGTAGTGGTCAATTAAAAAAAAATTTTGTATGATAACCTTTTTAAAACCTTTTTTGTTTTGAAATGATTATAGATTCACAGGAAGTTGCAAAGATAGAACAGAGAGGTCTGGTGTACCCTTCACCCAGTTCCCCTCAGTTGTTACATGTTACATAATTATATTACAATAACAAAATCAAGAAATCAGTATTGGTACAATGTATGTGTATAATTCAATGCATTTCAGCATGTTTGTAGATTCAAGTAACCACCACTGCAATCAAGATACAGAATTCTTCCATTACCACAGAGATCTTCCTTGTGGTACCCCTTTGTAGTAACACCCACCCCTCTTCCTCCCATCCCTGCACCCTGGCAACTACTAATTTGTTCCATCTCCATAATTTTGTCATTATAAATCGGGTCTTTAACAAAGAAGGCAGTCTCAGAACCTTGGTGAAAAGGACATACCAGATAGTCTTAAATAGGAGTTGATAAACTACAGCCTGTGGCCCTTTTTTGTAAAGCCTGTGAGTTTAAGAATGGTTTTTACAGTACATTTTAAAAGAGCTCTTTAAAAAGAAAGAAGAATATGCAACAGAAACCATATGTGGCCCACAAACCCTAAAATATTTATTATCTTGCCTTTTATGGGAAAAGTTTGCTGACCCCTGCTCTTAAATAATAGACTCATATTGTCTGAGCTAATATTGCTTGGACAGATGCCAGACTGTATCAGGGATGCCAAGTTAGGATTTTTAAGATTCTTTTTAGTCTAGAAGCAGATGCCTTCATGAAAATAGAGTGTTAACCTATGATCTAGGACAATCAGAATTGATTACACAGGACTGAATAAACTGGGGAGAATCTGATTGTGGTTATTTTTTTCAGAATGTTGTTGATATAATTTTTATGATAGTTATATGATAAAGCCCTTCTGACGTGTAACTTAGTAACTATACTAGTGCTAGTTGGAGTGATACATTCTTTAAATGGTAGTTTGCTCTCTTTGGTCTCTTAGAATTTAGGAACACTTGCCTTTTACTGAGATTGTTTTACTGCTCAAGGCAATGTGTCTATTTACATAGGTTCAATAAGAATTTGTCCTTTTTACCAGGTTACAATGAGGCAAATTGATTGTGTAGCCAAGGTCAAACCTAGAGTGTCACATTTGAGAATAAATCTCATTCAGTTAGGTGTGAAAAGCTCACCATTAAGGAAAAAAGGTTATACTTCATATGTAAAGCCAGTGTCCACAAAGCCCTCCTGAGAACCTAGTCTTGTACCTTATCTGTGGCATATAGGATCCTAGCCTGCAGGAAGTAAGGAAGGTCACTTCTTGTAGATTTGCGTGAGAAGAATTTACTCACATTTGTAGGTGCACCACAGACAAAACCAGTAGTGATTTTTTCTTTTCTTTTTTTGGTTTCCATAGCTTTGAGTTAGAAGCAAATAATAATTTTTAAGTCTCTGGAATAATAGAGGCTATTGAAGATATAATTCCAAATTTCTTATGAATTCTTCAGGCAGCAGTGATTATGAAGGCTTCAGTAACTGCTTGATACCATGTGGCTCTCGATTTGCTGTCTATAGTTTATACATATGTTAGTTAACATTTCTTGCAGCACTTGTGTAAATAAATCAGTCCAAGAAACAAAGTAGCTTTTTCTGTGTACATGTGTAATCAAAAATAATTTGAGATGTTGTAATCATGAGAGGAGGCTGTTAAAAATTATCCAAAATTTGAAAAGAGACAAAAAGGACAAAATGTCATTTTAGTATCCTGCCAGGTGTTGTCTAGCATTGTCTAGCCGACACTCCTGGGGATTCTAGGGATGTGTTTTTTTGGTTTTTTTTCTCTAGTTGTGGCAAGCGGGGACTGCTGTTCCTTGCGGTGGGCGGGCTTCTCATTGTGATGGCTTCTCTTGTTGCGGAGTGTGGGCTCTAGGCGTGAGGGCTTCAGTAGTTGCAGCACGCGGGCTCAGTAGTTGTGGCTCACAGGCTTAGTTGCTCCACGGCATGTTGAATCTTCCCGGACCAGGGATCGAATCCATGTCCCCTGAATTGGCAGGCGGATTCTTAACCACTGTGCCACCAGGGAAGACCCTGCTATTTACTCTTGATTAGGCTCTTTTACAACTCATTAAGGGTGGACTTTAGCCTATAGAAAACTGATAGCAATGCAAATAATTCTTGCCTGATAGCAATGAAAATTAATTTCATCTAGTAGAGATTCAAATTATCTCTGTCCAGATAAAAGATAGCCCCAGAGGTTGCAGTTTTATTGCCCTAAATTGGCAATCTTACATAATCATTCTTTTCTCACCCACTCTAAGTAGTCCACTTACTTCATTTCTCTTAGAACCAGTTTTGTCATCTAGTTCTCTCATTAATTAGTTGAATAACTTTTTGGCAGTTATAAAACTAGTATATTGTTTTTTGGTGACCACTGTTTCTGTTGAAACCAGTGTCAGTCATCCTGTTGCTCCTTTGAAGGTAATCTCTCCTTTTTATCTGGGTGCTTTAAATTTTTTTCTCTTTGTCTTTGATTTTCAGTAGTTTGCTATGATATGTCTAGTTGATTTTCCTTTGTAATTACCTTCTGGGGTTCACAGTGCTTCTAGAATCTGTGAGTTGGTGTTTTTCATCAGTATGGGAAAATTCAGTCATATTTTCTTTTGATCTATCTTCCACTAATTTTATTGCTATCAGACAAGAATCATTTGGAATCATTTGTAATTACTCTATTATCTGATTCCTCTGATGTCTGTTTTATAGTCTGTTATTCTTTTAACTATAATTACATTGTCTTGTCTCCTCCCATGCCTGGTTATTTTATTGTGTGCCAGGCATTGAGTAGTAAAAGTAATAGATAAATCGTGAGACCTGGAATGATGTTATCTTCCTTTAGAGAGGATATTTGCTTTAGACAGGTAGCTAAGAACACAAGTAATCCCATATTACGTTACTCCAATCAAGAATTGAATTGATTAGGAGCTGGGTGTGGGAAAGCTGGAAGATTTCCGGTTCACTCCTCCTGGGACGCAGCCTTTTAGGGTCAGTATTCATAGCTGAACTTACCAGGGATAAATCCCCTTAGCCCCTACCCCTTTCACTTGGACCCTGAACTCAAATTTTTATTCTCCTTAGTTGTCCTGTGAGCCTATCAAAATTCACGCTCAGCTTCCCAGCCTGTCAGCTGATTCTTAACTGTTAGATAAATGATCCTAGGGAAGAAGGAGCTCTAAGTGTGGAGCTCACCTTTCTGAGTTTTCCTCTCCTAGATTTTGATCCTATAAATGTTTACTGCCTGTTTGCATTTTTTGTTTCGTAAGAAACTTGCTTTGTATCTTGTCCAGTTTTTCTTTTTCTCAGTAGGACAATAGTTAGACTTATCTAGACTACCATTTAAATTAAAAATGTTTATACAAGTAGTACACAAATACATTCTCAGTATATAGAAAAGTTTGTAGAATTAAAATTGAAGGTCTTATCATCCCTGGCCTAACCAGTTCCTCATCCCAAAGTAACCACTGTTATGTTTGGTGTCCTATTTATGATCCCTTTCCCCCACTCCCGCCCACCCCAATTAAAAAACAAGAGAAGGTTTTTTTCATTGGGGGGCAGAAATCTCTAGAATGTAACTAATTGCAGGCTGCCTTAGGTTTAACTCAATGTGAAGTTTAAGTTATATATCAGACATAGGCCTTCCCTTTTTTTTCTTTTTTTCCTTTTTCAATTTAAACTTAGCACTTAATGATGTAAAATTTCTTTCCACAGAATAAAAAAGTCTTTATTATCATTTAAAAATTTAAATAATTGTTTTATTTTATAGTAATACTAGATTTGTAGAAAAATTGCAAAGATAATAAAGAAAATGCCGGTATACCCTTCACTTAGTTTCTCTTAATGTTAATATCTTATATAACCATGGTACATTTGTCAAAACTGAGAAATTCACATTGGTACATTACTGCTAATCAAACTACAGACTTTATTTGGGTTTCACCAGTTTTTCTACTCATGTTCTTTTTTCTGTTCCAGGATACCCCCTTGCATTTAGGGTATTTCTGTTTTGAAGGCTCTGCTCAATTGGCATGTGTACTGTCTAGGTTCCAGAGGTCCACTTAGTGATGAGTTTGGAATAGATATTCAGGATTTATATATGAGAGTATGTGCTTAGGAATTTTCAGTACTCACTGTGGTATTTAAGAGAAGTATGTTAGTTGATTCTTACAGTAGATCTTGAAGATTGCTTTCTCCTCTCTCTATACCAGGGTCTGAGCTTCTAGCCTTCACGTCTGGAATTTTGATGTATGGTTTATCTAGAGTTGATCAGACCTTGGGTAAAGAGGCTGTTACTATTCAGACTCACTTAAGAAAGTCAGTTTATTAATTTGTGAAAAGAAGGTTCCAGTAAGAAAGACTCTGGAGAAAGTAAGATTAGAAAATGGATTATTGAGTACATCAGAGACAAGTGCAGTATTTCCCCAAGTAAGTTCCTCGACACCACTTCCATATGATAATAGCCTAGAAAAATGGTTCCCCTAGTCATAAAAATTTGAAGAACCTTGAGAATAAATAAGGTAAATATATTTTTTTAACTCTAGGACTTACCAGTGCCTTTAATATGATCGTGTGATGTGTACATCCCCTAGGGAAGGATATGTTACATAGAATTTCCAAAACTTATTAGATCACAGAATTTTTTTCTTTTTAATGGGAGTAGTGGAAACCATCTTAACAGAATACTTTTGGGAAACCTTGGTTTAAAGAAAGCCCTCTGAGGGAAGTAACTGCCTTACTGGAATCTTCCAGATGTTCTTGATAACTGAACAGTTTGATTCAACAAACATTTATTGAGCACTTTCTATGTGCCAGGTCCTATGGCCAGGTCTGTTTTTCAAGTCACACCTTTATGAACCAATCAGACACTATATGGACTTCTATCCAAGTCTCCTACTTTTCCTTCTCCAGTTAACATTTCTGTTCTTTAAGTTAAATGTTTAAATTTCTAAATGCATGATTTCTTTGAAGTTAGAACCTTTAGCAGTAGGTCCTACTCTTTCAACACCTAGTAACTTCAGGTTATCTACAGGCATTCCTCATTTTACTGAGCTTTGCTTTATGCTTCTCATATACTGCGTTTTTTACAAATTGAAGGTTTGTGGCAGTCCTGCATCAAGTAATTTTTTGCTGTCAGTGCCATTTTTCCAACAGCATTTGCTCACTTTATGTCTCTGTCACATTTTAAAAATTCTCACAATATTTGAAACTTTTTCATTACTATTATATTTTTATGGTTATCTGTGATCAGTGATCTTTAATGTTACTACGAACAACTCACTGAAAGCTCAGATGATGGTTAGCAGTTCTTAACAATAAAGTATTTTTAAATTAATTACATACCTTGTTTTTTGAAGTATATTATTATCTTTATACACTATATTATACATTGTGTTATGATACATTATATTTTACATTATATTATTAAACATTACAATATAGTGTAAGCATAACTTTTATATGCACTGGGAAACCAAAAAATTCGTGTGACTTGCTTTATTGAAATATTTGCTTTATTTCGGTGGTCTGGAACCAAACCTGCAATAACGTCAAGGTATGCCTGTATATTTGTGATCAAGGTGAATGGTGGCCCCATCTAGTGAACATTATCTTGCAACCTGTTATTCCTCATGAGATTGGGGCTGTTCCCACCGTCTTCTGGGACCACCTTCTAAGTACTTGCTAAGGCATGTGTGACCATTTATTTTCATGGATGCTTCTTTGTATTTTAATTATACAACAACCTTCACTGTCTATAATAAATTTGGAAGTTTGTGTTTTTTGGGCAGTTTTATTTTCATTAGGTTTCTCCCCTGGTTTTTACTGAAAAGATTATGTAACAATATTAAGTTTTAAAAAGACTTTTTAATCCTCACTCTTTAATAAGTATTTTAATTTTTCCTGTGTTTGCCTTCCACTTCCCAGGATACATTTGCCTTATACTTCCCAGAATACAGGATTTTTTGGTCTTCCTATTTTTTACTTAACATTATAAACATTTTCCTGCTTTTTTTACATAGTCTTTTTTCAAAGAATCAATTTTTTTAATTTATTTATTTTTGGTTGTGTTGGGTCTTCGTTGCTGTGCACAGGCTTTCTCTAGTTGCATCGAGCAGGGGCTACTCTTCATTGCGGTGTGCGGGCTTCTCAATTCTGGTGGCTTCTCTTGTTGCGGAGCACAGGCTCTAGGCACATGGGCTCTAGTTGTGTAGTTGTGGCACATGGGCTTAGTTGCTTCGCGGCACGTGGGATCTTCCCGGACCAGGGCTCGAACCTGTGTCCCCTGCATTGGCAGGCAGATTCTTAACCATTGCACCACCAGGTAAGTCCTACATAATCTTCTTAAGTTAACAGCTTTTAAATATTTTGTCATATTGGTATAATTTATTTATCAATATCTCCAATTTTTACATTTAGGCTGTTTGCAGTTTTTTTCTATTGTAAGTAAGATGCAGTTTAAGCATATAGCTTCTGGTTTTATTGAGGTATTACACTAGGCCACATAACCAAGTGTGGAATTCCTTGGTCAAAGGGTATAACGGCCTTTATTGATTTTTCCATATAACTAATTGCTATTCAAAGACAAATTGCAGGTGAAAGTATAAATAGCTCTGTGTTTGGCTTCTGAAATATATGTTGTTTTTCTTAATAAGCCACAATGTTTGTAGATTTGCCTCAACCAAGTGCAACATTAAGTTCAGTTGGTGGTCATCAAGGTGTTAATTGATTATTCTGCTTCTAATAGTGACCTCTGCAGAACCACCAGACAGTGAGTTTAAAGTTGCTCTTGATTCCTTCATTATCTTTCAAACTTGGGGTGTTTAGATTTATTTTATTTCATAGTCTGTGCTGGGCAAGTGCAAGGAGCACTGTTTAGATGCAACTCAAATGCTTTGTGTTTGTAACTCATTTCTATAGCCTTGATTGGGTTTTTAAGAGGCTACATTTTCTTTCTCAATTTTTAAGAAGATTTAAGAATGATTTGGGAAAAGCGTTAAGTTATATTTTATTCTATTACAGGGGAACATTGTTCTTACAGATTATGAGTACCTAATTTTAAATATCCTAAGATTTCGAACTGATGAGTCAGATGATGTTAAATTTGCTGTTCGTGAACACTATCCAGTTGATCATGCTAGAGCTGCTGAACCTTTGCTTACCTTGGAAAGGTAACATGTTTGTTTATTAACTCATTTCATATTGTATTACATAGTAAAATAGATCATATGTCAGAATATGAAAGAACTGTCACATAAGAAAATATTTTGTTTACTTGCATAAAATAAATTTGGGCTGCTTGAACTACGTAAGTGTGCGCTTAAATGTAAGCAATTAAGCCTTATTTGGGAGTAGCAAATGTACGTTTTTTTAATCTAAGTTTGGTGTTATTTCAGACGTTTATGATTTCTTGGTAAAGTGGGGGAATTTATTAGCTGTTCTGTGAGAAGACAAATGGATATCTTGGCAGAGCGCAAAAGGATATAGGAATTCTGGTTTAGCTAAAAAACAGGAGTATGATGGGATAAGGTGCTGACTATAACAGTACTCTTCTGGCTGGAAGGCTTTGCTAATAGGCTACAGCAGTGGTTTTCAAAGTTTAGAATGTATCAGAATCACCTAGAGGGCTTGGTAAAATATAGATCCCCCTGCCCCCACCAGGTTTTAAGTAGATCTGGTGTAGATCCCAGGAATTTACATTTCTAACAAGTTTGCAGGTGAGGTTGATGCTGATTTGGGGGGGGGAATACTGTGGCCCACAGCATCCTTGAGTTCTTTCTAAATGTTTAATTAGGTAAAGCCATTTCAGGTGTTAAGATATATCACGAGGGAGGGATAACTTGGGAGATTGGGATTGACATATACACACTACTGTATATAAAATAGATAACTAGTAAGAACATGCTATATAGCACAGGGAACTCTACCCAATACTCTGTAATGGCCTATATGGGAAAAGAATCTAAAAAAAAAAGAAGAGTGGATATATGTATTGATATATGTATAACTGATTCACTTTGCTGTACACCTGAAACTAACACAAAATTGTGAATCAACTACAATAAAATTTTTTTTAAAAACCCATATATCACCAGTCTCCACAAACTACATTTAACTGTTGCATAAAAATGTGTCTTTCGTGTCATATATGGGCATGCTGATGATAAGCAGTATGACTTCGTTGAAAAAGTATTGATGTTCCTTGGAAAACTTGGTTTCAAGTCCCAGTCTGCTGTTCAGGAACCTACTAAACTTAGATAAATTACTTTTATGATCTTTTTTTTTTTTTAATCTATAAAGTGAACTAACTCCTCTTATATTTTAGGGTATTTTGAAGATCAGGCAAATTGATGCATATGAAAGTACTGTGAACATGAATATGGCTGTAGGGTTTATTAAATATAAGATAGTAAGGGGTGTGTCAATTTTGTTTCACAGATTGACGGAAATAATAGCCAGTGCACCTAAGGGTGAACTACTGAAGAGAGTTCTTAACCCATTACTTCGTGAGTAATCCTATATAGAGCAATGAAGTGTTTGTAAGATAATATGGTTTCTTAGAAATATATGTAACACATTGAAATCTAGTTCTAGTAGAAAATTAGAACAACTTGATAAATGTAGAAAGGAGTTTAAAATGATCTTTTGAGTAAATAAGTGTTTATTTTCAAGGAAAGAGAAATTTGTTATACCACATGAACTTTGACCTTTATGTTATGTCTTATTTAAAAGCAATACAGTTATGTAAACAAACTGTTATCTAGCACTTGAGCGCCAGCTATAGTTTTCTAAGAAATCTTTTTTTTTGTTTTTTTCAGTGTCCGTCTTTTTGATTTAATAGCCACTTAGCTTGGTTGGGCTTTCTTTGTTTTGCTTTTTGTTTTTTATCGGTGAGTCTCAGGGCATTCCAAGGTCTGCCAGGTGCCGCTGATAACCAGGGTAAAGATAATCTAATCAACTTTTACACTTGAGAAAATCATCACTTATCCCTATACTAAGGAATCTGGGGAGGACATATGAGAAGGCAGGTACCATTGCTTACTACAGGAGTTACTGTTTAGAATGCATTAAAAAAGTTATCTTTAAAACTTTCCATCTGTTAGTATAGCATGTGTAAAATTTGTAAGTTTGGATTTTTCTATTTCTTTATTCTGTTAATATGGTGTATTACATCAACCAGTTTTTGGATGCTAAACCAACCTTTCGTTCCTGGTTTATAATCCTTTTTATACGTGGCTAAATTCCATTAAATTCCTATAACTTTTGCATTGACTTCTACAATTTTATTGTAGTCTCAAATTTTTATAAATACTTGAACTGTCATTTCTAATAACATTTCAAAATAGGTAAACTAATTGTTATTTTCACTGGCTACTGTTATTGAGTAGATCATTTATATTGGGGTATACATTAGTATTTTGAACGTGAAATTTTATAGGAAAATACTACAAAGAATATCCTCTGCTTTTATAGCCTGTGGACCAGCTCTCATTGAACACTGTCTTATAGAAAATGGATTCTCTGGCAATGTCAAAGTGGATGAAAAATTTGAAAGTAAGGGTATGTGTGCATGCTACAAGTTTTGCCCATTTTTATTTCATTTTTTTAAACCTATGAAAATGATTTCTGGAAAAAGTAATAAGTGAGTGGGTAGTTCTAGACTTAAAAACATTTGACCTGTTAGTGTTCTATCCATATGGTATTCCTGACTTCCTACTCTAATGTGATGGCTTTATCCGTAGTAACATGCAGTTTAATCTCTTGACCTACGTTATTACCTTCTGATTTTAGAATATTCTCCCTCCCTCCCCCTAAATTTTGGAAGGGGTTACTGCACATGAGACAGTCTCTGGTACAAGGCTTGAAGGAGTTGAATTATTCACCTTCAGACTCAGAACCTGAGGGGCTTCTAGAAGTAGCGTTATTTATGCATTTTAATTCTGTAAGTGCTGTGGTGTGACTTTATAATGAATTAGGCTTTTGTAACTACTTAATGGAACCTAAATTAACTTCCAGATTAGGATAATAAAAAATTAGAGGAAATATAAGGAAAATGGAAGCTTTGGTCTTTGACAAATTTTTATCTGCAGATTCTCATGTAAAATGAAAAAACAGTCATTCTTGATATTTATATTTGGGGATTTATATCACTTCTTAGGGTTTAGGGATCATTTTTATGACGCACAAATGCACAAATGTAAAATTTTTTTGTGCATTTAAAAATACAAATTGAATGTTTTAAGTGAATGATTTAGTTTCTGAAATACATGAATTTAGTGCAATCCTGTTCGAAATGCCGACAGGTGGTATTGTTATTTTTGCTATTGCACTTCCTTTTTTAAATGAATCTGATATGTGCAATAAAAAGCATACAAAAATGTTCAGGAAAACTCTGGAAAATAATAGTAATGATGGAGTATAATCTTTTCATAAATTAAAATGTATTATGAAGCTATAGTAATTAAAAGTTAAGTTTTGGGAGAAGGAATACACAGAATAAAGAATTCAGAAACAAGCCCAAATATGTATGGCAATTTAGCATATGGACAAAGTGGCTTTCATATCATGAGGGGAAAGATGGATTCAATAAAAGCTATTGGGACAACAAGCTGGCCAAAATATATTCTTATTTAATAAACTGATTATAAACATGAAATAACTATATTTAATTTTCTTGAACAACTTGTATTATTTCATAAGCACTTTCTGTTTTCTACATAGATGTTTAATAATAGTTATGGACAGTTGATTGGCACTCCTTTTTTCCTTTCTTATTCCCCTATTAGATATTGAAAAAGTACTTGTTTGTCTTCAGAAAGCAGAAGAGTATATGAAAACAACATCCAACTTCAGTGGAAAGGTAGCGCCACAAATACTTATTGTATATTGTTGATGTTTTACTTATTTAGATTTTTAGAATTTAAATGTTCATTGAAGGATCAGTATATGTAAATTTTTTGTTGTAATTTGGAAATTTAACACCTGTAATATGCTTATTCTAGGGTAGTTTTTTTTAATTGCTGTTGGTTTCTGATTTTTGTCCTGTTCCTTAAATCTTCTATAAAGTACTGGGTCAAGACAATGTTGGCACTCCTGAAAAGCTGAGGAATTTGAAAATATTTCCTCTTAGGTTGATTTAAGATAGAGAAGCACATCTTAATTTGCCAGCACTTTCCAAAAATGTACTGATTAACATCTTTTTAATTATTAAATATCCTCTGAGTTACCTCATATCTTGTTTTTCTTCCCTATTCAAAGTATATAACTTTACTTACAAAAAACGTTCAGAAAAAGTTCTGATTAATTACAGCTAAATTCACTCCAAATATACCCTGCACCCAGTTACTAAAATGAATTAAAATTTCCTACCGGCAAAGTGAACCGAAGATTTTTCTGCTGGAAGTAAGGTGCTTTTGGCTTTTTTAAGTTGCAGAACATCTGAAAAATGGAAAGAAAAAAGCAAAATGCACATGTATAATCTCACCACTTTATCAAATCATTAGTTTTCATTTTCTTTATTCCCTGTTTTTTTCTTGTTCATATGAATAAGTTAGTATTTTCTGATGGTACTTACTGAGTCTTAAAAACATCACTTTGAGAAATGATACAATCAGTAGACAAATGCTGATTGTTTATAACTAGAATAATTTTGTAAGTTAATAAAATTAATATCATTCAAGGAAAGTAAATCTGTTAATTATGAATGGAAATTAGTTTTAATGTTGGATTTTTGTAGGGGTATATCATTCAGAAAAGAGAAATAAAACCAAGCCTGGAAGTAGATAAACCAACCGAAGACATACTCACGTAAGTATGTAGGCATGGGTCGATTTGCTTTGGGTGTTTATTAATCTTCCTTTCTTTTTCTTTTTCTTTTTTTTAAAATAGATTTATTTATTTTTGGCTGCATTGGGTCTTTGTTGCTGTGCGTGGGCTTTCTCTAGTTGCGGCAAGCGGGGGCTACTCTTTGTGGCGGTGCGTGGGCTACTCATTCCGGTGGCTTCTCTTGTTGCGGAGCATGGGCTCTAGGCGTGCGGGCTTCAGTAGTTGTGGCACACGAGCTCATTAGTTGTGTCTCGCAGGCTCCAGAGCGCAGGCTCAGTAGTTGTGGTGCACAGGCTTAGTTGTTATGTGGCATGTGGGATCTTCCCGGACCAGGGATCGAACCCGTGTCCCCTGCATTGGCAGGCGGATGCTTAACCACTGCACCACCAGGGAAGTCCCTATTAATGTTCTTGGTAAATATGTTTTACAGGTATGAGGAATTTCATCCTTTCTTGTTTTCTCAACATTCACAATGTCCATATATAGAATTTGAATCATTTGACAAGGTGGGTTTTCTGATTCTATTTTTTGACCAGTTAGCATGATGTGAGTTGTTAAATTAATATCAACTTGCTTTGATTGAGAAATTGAAAATATTTCTGCTTTACAATCATTATGAATCTGGACATTAAAAACCAGTGCAGTCACAGATACAAACTAGTGGAAATGTTTGTTGTTTCTTTATTTCAAGATGAAGGACCAAAGATTTGAACTTAATTTGATTCCTGACTGCTTAGCTATATAATACATTTACTGGAAATCTCCTCAAGTTCTTTGAGTGGTGTTATGAAACAAAATGGACCCTAAAATTCTGTGTATGCAAGTTGAAGCAGAGACCGTGTTTGTGTGGTTTTTTTCCAGCTAGTTGATTGTCTTTTTCTTCTTTTGATAAGGCCGTAGATGAATTTTATTCCAAGATAGAAGGTCAGAAAATAGATTTAAAAGCTTTACAACAGGTATGGTGTTATTAAAAACATTTATATAAACCAGCTAGCCTTGAGTGTGGTTTGCTGGGTAGGTGATGCTCTCATACAGGAATGGGCAGCCTTTTAGAAGTAGTTTGGGAATGCCCTGATCTCTTGGTATATTAATAAAGGTCCAGGGGAGCTATCAGTGTTTAAAAAAAAATACGCTCATTTGCTCCATTAGAATATCAAATATTCTCTAAACCAGAAAATACAGTGGGAAGGAGGCCTATTATTTATTCCCTGGTATAATTTGCTTTATTACAACAACCCAGAGCTTCTCAAACTTTGCTGTAAAGGGAATAGTGTTTCAAAGAGGAGATTTTTAAATAGGCCAAAGGAGAGGGAATAGTTTTCTCTATACAAATAAGTATATATTTGTTTATCATTAAACTGTTTTCTTTTTTAAAGTGGGCTTTTGAACTAGGTCTTTAATATGCTTTGCGTGTATCATGACTCCACAAGGAGGGTTTAATATGCTGTGTTTTGTTTTCCCAGCTCATTTGACCATGTTTGGGGAGCTTTTACTGCAGAACAGTTTTAGAAAATGGCCAAAGTCACGCTTGATTCGATTTTTCAGAAATATTCATAGAATCTTAAAATATGTGTGCAAAAACTTGAAATTATGTGAATCTCTGTATCCTCCCCACCTTGGTTGTAAAAAAATTAACAAGAGCGGAATTTCAAAGCAAGTGGGTCACATGAGTTACATAGTGTGATTGCCACATGGTGGCAGCACTTTAGTAAGTAAACAGATATTTAAGAGTAACATTGAACCCCATGTACGTCAAAATTCCCGTGAATTATTTTAGTAACCACTGTGTGTTCTTTTAATAGTCACCATTCTTATAACTGAAATATTTTTAATATTACATCCAGCATGGAAACATTCACTAATTGGTGATGCTATTACTAGTGTTACAAAATTAGCCTCACATCAGTAACCTTAATATGTAAGTTCCGTGTGATAGAATGCTATACAGCCATCCCTCGGTGTCTGCAGTGGATTGTTCCAGAAGCCCCTGTGGATACCAAAATCCAAGGATATTCAAGTCCCTTATATAAAATGGTGTAGTACAGGGAATATAGTTAGCCTCCCATATCTGCAGGTTTTGTATCTGCAGGTACGGAGGGCTGACTTTATAAAAGTTCACATAACTACCATGAGCCTTTGTGTTGTTAATTTAGGAAGAAGAATACTCTGTAAAATACTAGAAATAAGGCTGAGAAAATTAAAAGCAGCAATAAAATAAAAGGAAGCTATTTTAGGAATTAATGCTAAAAATGCATTCCCCCAAACTTTAATGTCATAGGGAAAAATGTCTTGAATTCTGCCTGCTTGAATAATGCAAGGGCAGTAGGGCATATCTTACATACAGTGTAACCTGTAATCAAAATACCTTCCTTTATAGGGAATGGGATGTGGATGGTCAGGAGAGGTAATTTTGGAGCATGAAACACTTTGGGGTAGGATAGACCTGGGGAGATGGACTATGGGGAATTTTAGCTAGTTAGGTAACAACATTGAGGGGGCAGAAGTAGGGGTGGGATAGTGAGTTTCAGGAGGTAAAAGAGAGAAGGTACAGAAGGTAGAAGAAATCTAATTTTTAAAAACTCTGTTTTGTTAACAAAAGGAAAAACAAGCATTGAAGAAATTAGATAATGTCCGAAAGGATCATGAAAACAGATTAGAAGCTCTTCAGCAGGCTCAGGTATTATGTTTAGCTTTTTCAGATACTTTTTCAAAAATGGTAACTTTGGCATTGTAACACATGTTTTTGGTTTATTTCATAAGGAAATAGACAAACTTAAAGGAGAGCTTATAGAAATGAACCTACAAATAGTTGACAGAGCCATTCAGGTTGTTCGAAGTGCTTTAGCCAACCAGATAGACTGGACAGAAATTGGGTTAATTGTGAAAGAAGCCCAAGCTCAAGGAGACCCTGTTGCAAATGCAATCAAAGAATTAAAACTACAAACAAATCATGTTACAATGCTGCTAAGGTAAGTTTGATTCTTAGTTAAGCAGTTAGTGTTTGTCTTTATTTTGCTATTTAATTTTTCACTGTATTCATTGAAGTTTTTTTTATTTGGAAATTTATCTTTGAAAATACAGAAAAAAATTAATTTACGTTAAAATAATGCAACTATTTTAAGTACCGTAAACCATTTATAATTTCCTTGAGAAAAAAATTGAAAATAAAAAAGTGATGTCATTGACATTAGTGAAATACTATTGAATATTTTTAATAGAAATCCATACTTGTTATCAGAGGAGGAAGATGATGATGTTGATGGTGACATCAGTACTGAGAAAAATGAAACCGAACCACCAAAAGGAAAAAAGAAAAAGCAAAAGAATAAACAACTGCAGAAGCCTCAGAAAAATAGGCCATTGCTTGTTGATGTTGATCTCAGCTTGTCAGCATATGCCAATGCCAAAAAGTAAGTCATAAATTTAAGTTTTTATTTTATTTTATTTTATTTTATTTATTTGCCACGCTGCATGGCATGTGGGGTCTTAGTTCCCTGAGCAGCATTTGAACCCGTGCCCCCTGCATTGGAAGCACAGAGTCCTAACCACTGGACCACCAGGGAATTCCCATAAGTATAAATTTTAGGTATAATATTATCTGCAATAGATCTGTTAGGGTATTAAGGATAAGAACTATCATTATTTTGACTGTATATTCTTTGAGGTGAAATACTTTTTTAAAAGTATTTAAAGTTGTTCTTGATGATTTGTGAGTCTGTAAAATTAGAAATAACATAAATCAAAAACTAAAGAATAAAGATTTTATCTAAAATTAAAAGATATATTTTTCTAGGTATTATGATCACAAGAGATATGCTGCTAAGAAAACACAGAAGACTGTTGAAGCTGCTGAGAAGGTACTTAATATTTCTTAGAATGAATGTTAATTGTTTTTCTCTGCTTTATTAATTTAATGGACTTAATTATTTCTTCTCTTTAAATGAGGTTTTCAAATTCAGAAATCTTTCAAACTTAATTTTGCTTTAAATGTGTGCATTTCCAGTATTTATTTTCTCCCCTAACCCTCTCTTGCCCAGGTCTCTATCTCAGTAATTATCCCTTTTTTGCTCAAGTTAAAAATGTTGGAGTCACCCTGGACTCTTCTCATATCCAGTCAATCCTTTTAAATAAAAAATGAAGTCATTTCTCTCTGTTCAACATCTTCCAGTTTCTTCCCATCTTACTCAAGACACCTTAAAGCCTGGATCAGGTAGGGAGGCCTATCTGCTTCCCTCTGATCACATCACCCACACTCCTCTTGTTACACACTGTTTCCAGCCACAGTGGGATCTTAAGCTATTCCTACATCAGTGGCCCATACTGCCTTCTCAGGGCCTTTGTACTTGCTCTTTCTGCCAAGAATGTTCTCTCCTCAGATTTTTCATGGTTTGACCCCCCTCATCATTCATGTGTCTACTTAAGACTATCAGAGAGGCCTTTCTTGACCACTCGTAGTAAAAATAAAACTACCTCAATCACTCCCTTTTCACTCTTGTTTTTCTTTTTTAAAAACACCCATCCCAACATATGTTTATCTGTCTTCCCTCTAGAATGTAGATTGCATGAAAGTAGGATCTTTATGTGTTTTATTCATTGCTGTGTCCCAGTCTCTAGAATATTGCCTGAAACATAGTCACATTAATATCTGTTAAATGAGTGGTCTTCATGACTTAGCTTTCTATCTGCCTCTCCAACCTCATTTACCCTATGATCATACTTCCTGGTCAAGCTGGCCTTTTCCTTCTGCTTACAGTGCTCTTTGTATTCTTTGCCTTGATAATTCCATTAATCCTTCAGGCTTCAGCCTAAATGCCATTTCCTCAGAAATACCTTCTTTGACCATAATCAGTTATAAATTAGGTTCCCTTGTTATACTCTCATAGCATCCTTTGAAACATTTACCATGTTTATTTGAATAATTATGTGTTTTATATATGTCTCTTCTCCTAGACCTCAGTGGGGTAGGAAGTAGAAACTTTGTCTTGTTCATTGTGTGTCTCTGACATCTAACCCAAAGTCTATTATATGGTTGCACTGAGCATATGGTAAACAGATGAACTCTTTTTCATTGTAGGTCTTGAGCAGATACTTGTATACAAATCATTTTAATATTTAAGGCCAAAATTTCTTCATTTTATTACTTTTTAAAAAATAAATTTATTTATTTATTTATTTATGGCTGTGTTGGGTCGTCGTTGATGTGCTTTCTCTAGTTGTGGTGAGTGGGGGCTACTCTTCATTGCGGTGCGTGGGCTTCTCATCGTGGTGGCTTCTCTTGTTGTGGAGCATGGGCTCTAGGCGCACGGGCTTCAGTAGTTGTGGTGTGGGCTCAGTAGTTATGGCTTGCGGACTCTAGAGCACAGGCTCAGTAGTTGTGGTGCATAGGCTTAGTGGTTCCACAGCATGTGGGATCTTCCTGGACCAGGGATCGAACCCATGTCCCCTGCATTGGCAGGCGGATTCTTAACCACTGTGCCACCAGGAAAGTCCCCATTTTATTACTTTCATGTGTGTATGGTGTGTGTGTATAGATAGTGCCATTTGTGACATTTAAAAACCCATTTCTTCCCCTGTCATTTACTTGGTGTTATTTAAGTAAATTTTCAACAGATTACTTAAAAACTCTTTTCTTATGAATAGGCGTTCAAATCAGCAGAAAAGAAAACAAAGCAAACCTTAAAAGAAGTCCAGACAGTTACCTCTATTCAAAAAGCAAGAAAAGTATATTGGTAAGTATTCTACCTTTTTAAAATACATTTTTTCTTTCTATCAAAATTATACATGCACATTATTTAGAAAATCAAGCAGTTCTACAAAGCTTGTTAAAAAACCAGTAACCCCGCAAACTTTTATCCCTACTCCTATTGTCTCCTCTCCCAAGGAAACTTTTACCTCTTTTAGCTGAATCTTTTGATATATACCTCCATTTCTCTTAGTAATATATTGCTGCTTCTTAATTTTTCTGTTTTACACTCTATTAATAACTTCCCACCTTGGAAAGTGAAGATTTTATTCTTTCCATTTGTGCTCTGTTACATACACACACATCACCTGGCTTCTCAATATACTTACAGCATAATTTTGTCAAGACTGATGTTCTGTGTTAACATTATTATGAATATTTAAGTTGTAATCAGAGCTGGATCATATAGTATTCTGTTTTCCTTTCCTGCTCAGTATTTTATCTTCCCTGAAGTTAATAATTGTTTCATTTGCTTTCTTTTTATTTTTGTTCTTGTTATTAGCCATGTCCAAATTCGCTTCCAAGTGTGTTCAAACATATTGGAATTTTATCAGTATCATCTTCTTGCAGAAGTCTTTCCTGGAGCTTTTTGACCTACTTTGTTCTAGATTGGTTACTGTAAGCATTTTAAGATCTCCTTTTTTTTATTATCCTGGAACTTCTCTGTAACCTCTCTCTGTGTTGTATCTTCTGTCCTGAATCTCAAACTTCCTTTTTCTTTGGTTATGGACTATGTGCTCTAGAAGCTTCATGAAAAGGGGTATGTAGAAGTTAAAGTTTTTGAGGTGTCCAATGTATAAAAAAATTATTTTACTCATAGGAGTTTGGATAGGTATAGAATTCTAATTTGAAAATATGTTTCCCTCAGACTTTTAAAAAGGCATTGTCCATTGTATTAACTTCCAGATTTGATCTTGAGTTTTCTGTCATTTTGATAGTTGCTGTTTTAATAGGAAACTTGTTTTTGCCTTTCTGTAAGCTTCTAGATCTTTTTTTTCTTCCTCTCAGTTTTCCAAAATTTCACAGGAATATAGGTTGGTGACGATGTTTTTATCCATTATGCTGGATACTTTGTGGGCCTTTTAAATTGGAAACGTGGTTTGGAGAAATTTTCTTGAACTATTTCTTAGAAAATTGCCTACCTTCTGTCTTTTTTTTTTGTTTTCTTTTTCTTTCTTTCTAGAAGTCTCATGTTTTACTTATGGGACCCCTCCCCCCCTTAGCAGTCCTATTGCATTGCATTTTCTGTTTTTCAACTTTTTGTTCTATATTCTGAGATTTTCTCAACTTTATCTTTCAATCCTTCCATTGAATTTTTTAATCTTTTATTTCTTCCTATCATGTTTTAATTTTAAGCTGTTTTTGGAATGTTACTTTAAAAAAACTTACTGCTCTAGTTTCTTTATAACTGAGAATAGTTTTGATGTATTACATTTTATTTAGTATCCTTTTCTTGCAGGTCTGTCTTCTCCAAGTTTCTTTTTTCTATTTGTTGGTTTTGTCTCCAGCGTTCACTTGTGTACGTTTGGTGATCCTTGACTGTCTACTCACTTTTTATAGCAGAACATTAAAACGGTGATTGGAAGTTCTTTGTGGGTTGTTGGACTTGTAAAATGATCTGTGTGGGCCATCTGTGGAACTCTTGAAGTCTTTAGCTTTTTGCCTTTTCGGCTGGTCTCATTTCCCACAAAAGCTTCTTTCTCTTCTATTTGTAAAGTGAAGACCTGGCTATCACCATTTTGGGAGCTCAGTGGAAATAATAAGCTGGAGAGTCTTAGTATCCAGTATTTCATACATTTACTTAATTGCCCTATTTTACATATATTACTCCTACTTACAACTGTGATACGTTTCCCCTAGTCCAGAGATCCTCTTTGTACCCTTTTAAAGAATTAATTTCTAACTTTCTGTTAGAGTGTTGAAGGGGCAGTTACCACCATGTTCCGAGCTGGAAAGATCTAGGGAAGTGCTTACTTCTTGATAAGATTTTCAGCCAGTTCTTCTGTTTTTAAACCTCATCTTAAACCCGATTTCTAGCAGTACCTGTGCTCTTTATGGGTCATACAGTGTAAGTTGATTTGTCTCTTGGTTTTTTGCACCGTCAGCTCAGGATTCAGCTTCTTGAGTCTGCTCACTTGTTCATTTATTTTCCAGCTTTCAAAATTTTGTTGCTTTTTTCTTTCTTTCTCTAACATCTCTATTGATGAATATGATTGACCTGTAATTTTCATTTCTCATAATGTTTTTGTTATCTGTTGGTACAAGGTTATATTATCTCATAAAACAAATTGGAAAGTGTTCCTTTATCAATTGTCCTTAAATGTTGATGGAAGTCACCTGGAGTTTTCTTTATGGGAAAGTTTTTCATTACAGATTCAAATTCTTTAGTAGATAAAAGGACTACTCAGATTTTCTAGTTTTGGTTAGCAATGTTTTTCTAAGACTTTGTCTATTTTGTCCAAAGTTTGAAATTTATTGGCAAAAAGTTTATAATATTCCACTTTTTTTTTTTTTTTTGGCCACGCCGCGTGGCATGCGGGATCTTAGTTCCCTGACCAGGGATCAAACCCATTCCCTCTGCAGTGGAAGCATGGAGTCTTAACCACTAGACCACCAGGGAGGTCCCTCCACTTAAGTTTTTAACATCCCTAGAATCATTAATTACTTCTCCCTTTTCATTCAAGAATTATTTGTGCCTTCTCTCTTTCTTGATTAATCTGACCAGAGGATTTTCAGTAGTATTAATATCATTAAAGAACCAGTTTTTGACTATTGATCTCCAGTGTTATATATGTGCCTTCTATTTTAATAATTATTTTCATCCTTCTACTTTTCTTTGGGATTTATTTGCATTTTCCTTTCTGATTTCTTGAGACAGAAGCTTAGTTCATTGATTTCCCCCTTCCCCCGGCCTCTTTTCTAATATATGTAAGGCAGTGAATTTCCCTCAGCATGGCTTTAACTGTATCTAAAAAGTTTTGTTGTTTAGGATTTTCATTATCTTTCATGTCAAGATATATTCTAATTTCCATGGTGATTTCTTCACTCATGCATTATTTAGAAGTATATGTATTACTGTCCAAACACATGGGGGTTTTTGGTTATCTTTTTGTTACTGATTTTTAGCTTTATTTGCGTTAAAGAGGTGATATTCTGAATTATCTCAGTCATTTGGTGTTTGTTGTTGAAACTTGCTTTATGGCCCAGTCTGTTTATGGGCAGCTTTATTTATAAATGTTTCATATATAGTTGAAAATAGTGTCTTTTCTACAGTTACTGAGTGCATTTCTCAATATCAGGTCATGTTTATCAATCATGTTGTTCAAATCTTTGGCACCTTTATAATTCTCTTTTTAATGCTTGTTTTCCCAGTTACTGAGAGAAGTGTGTTAAATATCATACAGTTTGGATTATCTGTTTCTCCTTTTACTTCTGAACTTTTGCTTTATATATGTGAGGCTATGTAATTAGGTGATACAAATATAGAACTGTTATATCATCTCAGTGAACTGAGCCTTTTATTAATTTTAATGAAATGTCCTTTTATATCTATTTTTTCCATCTGTGTGAGATGTTAAAACTGTATAAACTGTTTTTTGGTTAGTATTTGCATGGTATTATCTTTTTCCATCATTATGTTTCAACCTTTTTATATCCTTATATTTTAAAGGAGTATATATCATTGTTTTTTCTCCAGTCTGACAGTCTTTGCATTTTACCTGGAGAATTGACTACATTTATATTTAATATAATTTCTGATATATTTGGGTTTAAATCTAACCATCTTACTGCTAGCTTTCAGTGTGTCTTATTTGTTCTGTGTTCTTTTTTGTCTTCCTTGTTGCTTTATTTTGATTAGTTGGCTTTTTTTTTTTTTTGGCCTGTTAGTTATGTATTCCTCTGCTAGGATGATTACAAAATACATCCTTGATTTATCTTTCACATTCTTTTTGTCCTTGTGGGTTTATGTCTTTTTGCAAACCTCTTTACCATCAATAGGGAAGTGGTTAAATCAGTATAGTACATCCATTCAGCAATGAGGAAAATATATTTTTAAGTGAAAAAAGAAAAAAATATGCAAAACAGTGTGTTGTGTCTGAAAAAGAGAAAAAGTTTAGAATAAGCATTTTATTTTAGCTTTTGTATGTATAAAGAAACTCTGGAGAGGGATACAGGAAGCTAATGGCCAATTGGTTAGTAGCAGCTGTGGGAACTGAAGAGATGTAGGATCTCTCACTATACTTTTTTATGTAATTAAAACATTTTTTGAACCATGTGTATGTATTACTCAATAAAAAATCAGATTAGAAAATAGGAATAGAGTCCTTTTGCTATTATATTTTGGGAGCTATGAGGAAGTTTCATTTAATGCCTGTGCTCAATCTATCATCTTTAACCAGAAATTTTAAAATTCTAGGTTAAATCATAAAAAAATTATCTTGTGAGTCATATGTAAAATAGGAAATATTTATGTGCATCTCATTTTCTAAATGTCATACAAATATACACTCTTTACTTTTTATTGTGGTGGTATGTATTAATCATGAAAACCCAAGTTAATTTGTTTCTTGAGAAAAGTTATAATTTTACACTTCTGACAGCAACTTTTGTTTTTTAGTATTTTTTTTAAACTGTAAAGAATATCATATATGTAAACATTCAGTTGATTAATTGAGGACAGAATGGGAAAACAGCTTTTCTTTCTCATCGGTGGTCCCAAAGCCTATCCAGTGCCCCACTGAAAGAAAGCTAAACCTAGGGACCATGTGACATTTTATGCTTTTGCTTTTTGTAATTCATTGTTATAACGTCAGTTTAAGAAGGCTGTCTATATGGGAGGAAAATAAAGAGAGAACATATTTTTTAAGCATAAAATTTAATTGTTTTCTACTGAGACTGTCTTAAGAATATCCTAGGGCAATTTGTATTGCAAGTTTTCAGTAAAATTCAGCTTGATGTCTTAAGAAATTAAGCCATCAAGTTGTCTTAACCTTCACAGATAGGAGAGCTTTCTGTTTTATTTTGTTTGTTAAAAGGGTGTGAATTCAGGCAACTATGAAGAGAAAGAAATGTTAACTTTTTTCTTTAAAATTTGATAGGTTTGAGAAATTCCTCTGGTTCATTAGCTCAGAGAACTATCTAATTATTGGTGGACGAGATCAGCAACAGAATGAAATAATTGTGAAAAGATACTTGACACCAGGTAGGTAAGATTAAAATTCTGAAGAATTTTCTTTTAAGTAACTGGATTGGTTATCTCAATATTAGGTGTAGATTTTTATCTTGTACTCCTTTGTTTGACAGATTTAATTGGTAGAAAGAATTTCAGGGTTTATGGTTTGTTGAATATGTGCTTTGACACTTGATTCACATTTTAAGTGAATATCCCTAAAGTAGTAATGCCGAGCTAATCTGTAGTATTAGATTTTTGATTTTCCATTGCATTAAGAAAATAGCTTTCAATCCTCCAAAGTCATTGTAGATCAGATTTTTAAAAGCTTAATTTTTCAGTGCTGAAGTTTGTGACCGTTTTTCACTTTTAGAAGCAGGACTTAAGTGCTGTGTTGTAAGGCCTCTCGTTTTTTTTTTGTTTTTTTTTTTTGTTTTGTTTTGCGGTACGTGGGCCTCTCACTGTTGTGGCCTCTCCCGTTGCGGAGCAAAGGCTCCGGACGCGCAGGCTCAGCGGCCATGGCTCACGGGCCCAGCCGCTCTGCGGCATGTGGGATCTTCGCGGACCGGGGCATGAACCCGCGTCCCCTGCATCGGCAGGCAGACTCTCAACCACTGCGCCACTGGGGAAGCCCCTCTCATTTTTTTTTGTTTGCCGATAACCACCACTTCACTGTGGCTGAACCCTCAGTGTGAGTATCAGAAATCAATAATCAGTATCAGAGCTAATCTGATGTCCTTTGAGAATCCAGAACCAGGAAAGAAAGCAACAGGGTTAGGTTACATGGTACCCAGGGCTTGGTCTCTGTCTTCTCTAACTTTGTTCATTGTGAGCTGAGCCTTTCATGGAACTGTATGAGCTTTGCTCTTCTTTGAGTTTCAAATCTCAGATGAACTATCCATGGCAAACAATGGCTGCTCATTTTTTCTGTTAGAAACCATGCACTTTACTTTTCCCTAGTTGACCATTCATTGCTGCATTCATCTGTTTGCTCATTTATTCATTTGTTGCTGTTACACACTTTAGAATAAAACTAGAAGTCCTCATTGTGGCTTACAAGGCTCCTGACTTCTTCTCTAGCCTCATTTCTTACTTTCCTTCAGTCTGGCTTCCTGGCTGTTTGTCACATTTGTCAACCATCTATGGTTCTCAGGACCTTTGCACTTGCTAGGATGACTCATCTCTATGTGTCTCTCACCCATCATCAGGCTAGCCTGGGCTTGCTTATATGGTAACTCAGCAAATTTCTGAGAGAAAAAGAGGAAGCATACAGCACCTCTCAAGGCCTAGGCTGGGAACTGGCATTTGGTCACATCTGCCACATTCTGCTGGCCAAGGCAGGTCAAGGGGTCGGCCCACATTTGAGGGATGGGGAAGTGGACTCCACCTCTTGATGGGAGAAGCTTCAAGGTCATAGAGCAAAGAGGTGTGAATAGAGGGAGGGAGAAGAACTGTGACCATTTTTGTAATATGCCTTATTAGCATTGCTTTCCTCTGAGGAGGCCTATGAGAAATCTCCCAGGGGTGGGAGATAGACTTTTCTTTATATGTCTTCTTATACCTTTTGGATTTTGAACCCATTAAACAATAAGTAAATAAACAATTTCAACTTAAAAACAAAGAAACAGGACTTAAAGTATTATTTCTTATTTGTTTTAAAGGGGACATTTATGTACATGCTGACCTTCATGGAGCAACTAGCTGTGTAATTAAGAATCCAACAGGTAATATATTTCTTTCTATTATTCATAACTTTAATTCTTTTGTTTAAAATATTTTTAGTATAAGAGAAAAATCACTAATACAGATAAAGAAGGACACTTTATAATGATAAAAGTGTCAATCCATCAATAAGGTGTAACAGTTACAAACACATATGCATCTGTAACTTCCCTGGTGGTGCAGTGGTTAAGAATCCGCCTGCCGGTATAGGGAACACAGGTTCGAGCCCTGGTCTAGGAAGATCCCACATGCCGCGGAGCAGCTAAGCCCGTGCACCACAACTTCTGAGCCTGTGCTCTAGAGCCTGCGAGCCACAGCTACTGAGTCCATGTGCCACAACTACTGAAGCCCGCATGCCTAGAGCCTGTGCTCTGCAACAAGAGAAGCCACTGGAATGAGAAGCCCACACACCACAATGAAGAGTAGCCCCTGCTCGCACAACTAGAGAAGGCCTGCATGCAGCAACAAAGACCCAACACAGCCAAAACTAAGTAAATGAATTTATAAAATAATAAATAAACAAACATATATGCATCCAACAGTAGAGCCGTAGAATACATGAAGCAAAATCTGACAGAATTGAAGGGAGAAATAGACAATTTAATAATAGTAGTTCAAGACATCAATACCTAACTTTCAATCATGGCTAGAATAACTAGCTATAAGATCAACAAAGAAATAGAAGAGTTGAACAACACTCAAGTTACCTAGATTGTACACATATCTCTAGTACACTCTACCTCACAACACTAGATTACTCATTCTTCTCAAGTGCACATGGAACATTCTCCAGGGTGGACCATATGATAGTCTATAAAATAAGTCTCAGTTAATTTAAAACTAATGAATCATATAAAGTAAATTTTCTGACCATAATGGAGTGAAATTAGAAACCACTAATAGAAGAAAATTTAGAAAATTCACAAATGTGTGGAAATAAACAACACACTCATAAAATAACCAGTGGATCAAAGAGGAAATCACAGGGGGTATTAGAAAATACTTTGAGGTGAGTGAAATGCAAGCAAATTTATTGAGACTTATGAGATGCACCTAAGGCAGTGCTCAGAGAGAAATTTATAGCTGTACTACCTATAATAAAAAAGAGGAATGATTTGAAATCAATAACAAAACTGTACACATTAAGATTTAGAAAAAGAAAGGCAGATAACCCATAGTAAGGAAAGGAAGGGAAATGGTAAAGATTAGAGTGAAAATAAAACAGAATAGAAAGACGGTGGAGAAAAATCAACAAAACCAAAGTTAGTTCTTTGAAAAGATCGATAAAACTGATAAACCTTTAGCTAGACTAACCAAAACAATAAGATTCAAATTCCTAAAATCTATAGAACTTTTAAAGAAGACTGAACATCAATCCTTCATAAACTTCCAAAAGGTAGAAGAGAGAGGAACTTTCTAACTCATTCTATAGGGCTGGTATTACCCTAATAACAAAACCAGATGAAGATATCACAGGAAAGAAAACTACAGACCAATATCATTTATGAATATAGACACAAAAATCCTCAACAAAATATTAGGAAACTGAATCCAGCAGCATATTACAAGGGTTATACACATGATAAAGTGGGATTTATTCCCAGGAATGCAAAGTTGGTTTAACATATGAAAATTAATGTAATACAGTGTATTAGTAAAATAAAGGACAAAAACCACATGATGATCTCAATTGATGCAGAAAAAGCCTTTGGTAATAATCCAGTACTCATTTGTGATACAAACACTCAACAAACTAAGAATAGATGGAAACTTACTCAAGTTGGTAAAGAACATCTATGAAAAAATCCACAGCTAAAAATCATGCTTAATGGTGAAAGACTGAGAGCTTTTACCCCAAGATCAGGAACAATATAAGCACATCTGTTCTTGCCACACTTTTACTCAACATTGTATGGAGGTTCTAAGTAGGCCATTAGGCAATAAAAAGTTTAAAATATCCAAATTGGTAAGGGACAGATAAAACTATCTCTGTTTGCAAATGACATAATCTTATATATTTAAACCTTAAGCAATCTACTAAAAATTATTAGTTAATAAGTTCAGCAATGTCTAGGATATAAGGTCAATATATAAAAGTCAGTTATATTTCTATATACTAGCAATAAGCAGTATTAAAAGGAAATTAATAAAACATCCACTTATAACAGGATTACAAAAGAATAAAATAAGTTCCTCTCAAAATTCCAGCTGCCTGTTTTTGCAGAGATGGACAAAGCTCATACTGAAATTCATGTGGAAATGCAGAGTACCCAGATTAGCCAAATCATTCTTGAAAACGGAGAACAAAATTGGAGGACTCACACTACCTGATTTCAAAACCTCCTACAAAACAACAGTCAGTGTGGTATCAGGACAGTGTGATATTGGTGTGAGGATGGACTGATAGATTAATGAAGAGAATTGAGATTCCTTGTTTATGGTCAGTTGATTTTCAGCAAGGGTGCCAAGGCCATTCAATGGGGATAGAATAATTTTTTCAACAAATAGTGCTGATGCAACTAATATCCATGTGCCAAAGAATGAAGTTAGACCCCTGCTTCATACCATTTATAAAAATTAAAAGCAGGGGCTTCCTTGGTGGTGCAGTGGTTGAGAGTCCACCTGCCAATGCAGGGGACGCAGGTTCGTGCCCCGGTCTGGGAAGATCCCACGTGCCGCGGAGTGGCTGGGCCCGTGAGCCATGGCCGCTGAGCCTGCGCGTCTGGAGCCTGTGCTCCACAACGGGAGAGGCCACAGCAGTGAGAGGCCCGCGTACCACAAAAAAAAAAAAAAAAAAAAAATTGCATCAGACCTAAATTTAAGAGCTAAAACTATAAGACTTTTAGAAGAAAATAAGGTGTAAAAAAACTTCATAATCTTGGATCAGAAGTCATTTTTTAGATATGACACCATAAGCATAAGCAACCGAAGAGAAAACAAATCAGATTTAAGCAAAATTAAAACTTTAATTCAGAGGACTCTTATCAAGAAAGTGAAAAGACAGTCCACAGAATGGGAGGAAATATTTGCAAGTCATTTATCTGATAAAGGACCAATATCCAAAGAACTCTAGAACTCTTCTGACTCAACAATAGAAAGGCAATTTTAAAATGAGCAAAATTTTTAAAATGTGAAATAGACATTTCTCCAAAGATATACAAAAGGCCAACAAGCACATGATAAGATGCTCAGCATCATTTGTCCGTTAGGGAAATGCAAATCAAAACCACAGAGAAATACCACTTAACACCCACAAGAATAGTTGAAATAAAAAAACAGACAGTGGGAATTCCCTGGCGGTACAGTGGTTAGGACTCCACACTGTCACTGCCAAGGGCTTGGGTTCAATCCCTGGTCGGGGAACTAAAATCCCACAAGCCACACAGGGCGGCCAAAAGAAACAAAAAAACAGTAACATGTTGCTAAGGTTGTGGAGAGATTGGAACTCTTATACACTGCAGGTGGGAATGGACAATGATCTAGCTGCTATAGGAAATAGTTTCATAGTTTCTGAAAAAGGTAAACATAGATTTTACCATGTGACCCAGCAATTCCACTCCTAGGTATTCCAAGATCATTGAAAACATATGTCCAAACTTATTTGCAGATATTCATAATAGCATTATAATAGCCAAGAAACGGAAACAACCTGTATGTCGATCCATTGATTAATAAACAAAATGTGGTGTATCCATATAATAGAATATTATTTAGACTTAAAAAGAAATGAGGTACTGACATATGCTCTCACATGAATGAACCTTGAAAACATGCTAAGTGAAAGAAGCCAGGTATGTATGATTCCATGTGTATGAACTTCCAAAATAGGCAAATCTGTAGAGACAGAAAGTAGATTAGTGATTGCCAGTGGCTGGGAAGATGAAGTGACTATTAATAGATACAGGATTTCTTTTGGGGATGATGAAAATGTTCTGAAATTAATGGTAATGATTGCATAGCTTTATGACTATACTAAAACCCGCTAAATTGTACACCTTAAAAGAGTGAATTTTATGGTATGTGAATTATATCCCAATTTTAAAATATTTGAATTCTTACTGTAGGGGTATATTAATATGCTCTTCATTTTGACAAATTAGGCAATATATAGTAATTCTGGAAGTCTTCAACCTTTGAATAGATTTTTCTAAATTATCCTTTCTGGAATGAAGTTAGAATTACTGATAAAAGAGGATATTTCTCCTCTGACTTGTTTTATTTACTCAGACCATTTAAAAACCTGCTGTGTAAATACATTTTTAAAAAAATTTTTAAAATTTATTTATTTTTGGCTGCGTTGGGTCTTTGTTGCCGTGCGCGGGCTTTCTCTAGTTGCAGCGAGCGGGGGCTACTCTTCATTGCAGTGCGCGGGCTTCTCATTGCGGTGGCTTCTCTTGTTGCGGAGCATGGGCTCTAGGCGTGTGGGATTCAGTAGTTCTGGCACACGGGCTCAGTAGTTGTGGCTTGCAGGCTCTAGAGCGCAGGCTCATTAGTTGTGGCGCATGGGCTTAGTTGCTCCGTGGCATGTGGGATCTTCCCAGACCAGGGATCAAACCCGTGTTCCCTGCATTGGCAGGCAGATTCTTAACCACTGCACCACCAGGGAAGCCCTGTAAATACATTTTTAATAAAAATAGTAACTTCTTGTAATACTGAAATTAAAGTGTGGTATTATTATTTAAAATATAAGAGGAGTGAACCTGTTATGCTGCATGTGGTTTCCATGTCTTGCTCTAGAAAGTCTGTACCTTGGTACTGAAGCGTTCTAGTATTGTTATTACAGGAGAACCAATTCCCCCTCGGACCTTGACTGAAGCTGGCACGATGGCACTTTGCTACAGTGCTGCTTGGGATGCACGAGTTATCACTAGTGCTTGGTGGGTGTACCATCATCAGGTAATAAGGGCTGTGGTCCTTTTTCTTAATTTAGTAAGAGCAACTGTGTTCCAAATTGTGAGGATATAGAATTGAACAAGGCAGACAAAGTACCTTGTGATGGAGTTGACATTTTGGTGTTGAAAAATAGATATGTAGTGGCAGGTAACAAAGTTTATTTTTAAAGCAGAGTAAGGGGATAGAGAGTGATAGAGGCTACCAGTTTGAATGTAGTGTCAGGGAAGGCCTTTCTGGGAAGGTAAGATTTGAGAGTGATCTATGTAATTATATGGGATAAAGACTGTTCCAGTTATAACTGGCCTACTGACCTAAAAAGTCTTTCTCCTGTTCGCCTTTGTGGAAATTTTCTGAATTCTCTTTGGCCCTTCCTGTAAAGTAGGTATATCCAGTGGTTTTTTCTATACACTTGGTTTAGTAATTGTCCTTCTTTGTGGTTAATGCTATTTTTTTGATGATACTTCATTCCATATATGACTTCACATTGCTATTCATTTCACGTTCTCAAGAATTATAATTGATAATGATAAACTTTTACAAAGTCTTAAAGCTATACAGCAAGGTAAAGAGAGTTCAATACTATTATCCTCCCTTAGATTTAGTTTCATTTTATATCTGTTTATATTTATTATTTTCCGCTACGTTGTGGTATTGTGTCCTTAGGAAATTAATATCACTTCTGGGATTATATTTTCTGCCTTGGTACTATTATAAAAGTGGCTTTAATTCTTTTATGAATAGGTTTTTTTAGTGTGCTTTTAATCCCTTGCATAACTATTACTAGTAAAGATACTCTCAGATTTGGGTGTTTCACAGATGTGTAAATTTTTTTTAAATTGTGGAGTTATATCGCTCACTTCCTATTTTGCCAAATTAGAAGATATTTTAAAAAATATGCTATTATCTTTATTTACTAAGATGAAAGGTTATTTCATTACCAAAAAAAAAAGTATATCAGGAAAGGATTTAATGTAATAAATATAGTAAATATAGTTTTATACCTTTATGATGAGCTTATTAAACTATCCTTGTTTTCCTTATTATGTCTCACATTAGAGGAAATGTGGATCAGTTGTGGCTCTAGTCCATGGCATTTGAAAATGATTGATGTAGTGTATCCTTCATTATTTCTTTTCTTTGTTACGGACAAACGTATATCTGTCTTTGAAGAGATAGCCCTTCAGTGTTAAGAGTTTTTGCTAAATTATAAACTTTTCAGGACATAGTACTCTTTACTTCAATATGGCTTTACTTTCTCAGGTGAAAATTTAAAAAACATATTTCTTAAGACAAGAGTATAATGTATTATTGTGTTCCTCAGGTGTCTAAAACAGCACCAACTGGAGAGTATTTGACAACAGGAAGCTTCATGATAAGAGGTAATGACTTGCCAGTGGATTATGGAGACAGGTTTGAGGACCATCTACTAATATTCTCAGAACAGAAACTAATTATTCTGACTTCATATATGAAGTCTGTTATTAAATAAGGAAAATTTTGCTGTGGTGTAGCAAATTCAGCATTTGACATGTCATCTCCATATATATTTTTATTGATGACAGTGTACTTTCATATAGTTTACATTTATAAGGGTAAGAAAGTATAGCATGACCTTTTTTTCTAAAAATAGATTATTCAGGATCTGACTAACCCAGATGATGAGAGCAAGCACTCATATTTTTTCTTTCTTAATTCCTGTTCCTATATATAATGCCAAATTCTGTAAATGGGAAATGTTCCTTCATGACAGAGAAAAGACAGAACAAACGTGACCATTGTGGCAGATATCTTACAAGCATAAAATGGAGAAAACAGTATTTTTAAAACATTTATGTACATTATCTTTCGTAGGAAAAAAGAATTTCCTTCCTCCCTCACATCTAATGATGGGGTTTAGCTTCCTCTTTAAGGTACTCTTCAGCTTCTTCATTATTTTTTTTCTGATTTTCATTAGTCTTAACCTAAAGTTCCACCAGTGAAAAGAACTGTTTCCATAGGTAGATGAGTCTTGTATTTGGAGACATCGGGGTGAACGAAAAGTCAGAGTGCAGGATGAAGACATGGAGACACTGGCGATTTGCACAAGTGAACTCATATCAGAGGAAATGGAACAACTAGGTAGTTTACAGATTTTAATAAAGTAGCTTATAATGTTTTCTGTTGTCTAGTTTTGCTTCTAAATTCTTACTTAGAAGATCGTCTCTTTTGGGGTAATTAAAATTTCCAAAAAAACCCCAACTGGCTGTCAACTTTATTGAATTTTGGTTTCGGAAATGTTAAATATACTTATTCTAGTGAATTATAAAGTGTTTAATTGGATCCATAACTAATACTTGAATATATGTTTATATTATAAAACTTCCCCAGTATTTAATGAGTAGTACATAAATGTGTTTAACAGAGATAGACTCGGGTATATATAAGTGAGCATTTACTTTTGGGTTTAGGAATTAGAAGCAATACAAAGATGAGTTTATAACAAGTACAATTTCTTATGAGAATTCAGCTTGATTTAATAATGTATTTGCTTCAAGTAGAGAGCAGCTGTGGTTGCTGAAATAAATTTACCTACCTACCTAAAGGAACTAGGGAATGTATGCCCTCTAAGTTATTTTTACATCTCCTAGAGTCATTCCTTTTTAGGAGTAATAGTTCATTGTTTCACTTACAACTGCTATTGTACATGATTCTATTTTTTTGAATTCTCACCATGTTCATGACATGTATACTTTATTTACATTATTTTTTATTGAATTCTCACAACCATCCTTGTCAGATGGTTGGTGGCATCTTATTTTATAGGTGAGGTAACTAGACCATATTATTACTACTAGACGGTGTTCCTTTTGTAAAAGCGTGAACACTTGCTGTGTGCCAGTTATGTAACTTGTTTTATCTCATTTCAGTTCTCATGTGCAAATTATAATAAAAGTGGCAGAATTTATATAACTACTTCTGTTTTCCTCCTTTTTGGAAATACTTAACAAAGACAAGCAATAGTTTTCATTGTAGAAATGGTCGCAATGTCTAAGAAATTTATTGTAGTAAAGGATCTTGGAGATAATTTATTCCAAACAATTCCTGATACAGAGTATCCTTTTGTCTAAGTCAGAGTAACCTTTGGGGAAGATCAGGCATTTTTCTGGTGATCTTTTGGAGAAAGAGGGAGTGAATTGAATATTTTTATGAAGTTTTCAAGGAAATCATCTAACCTTGTTGTGGTGATAGCACTCTGACTTTCCTTATGGTAATTCAATAGATGGAGGTGACAGTAGCAGTGAAGAAGATAAAGAGGAATTACATGAAACTCCTGTGGAAGTGGAACTTGTGACTCAGGTTGACCAAGGGGATATTACTATTCAGAGTGGTGGTGATGAGCTAAATGAACTAATTCAGGAAGAAAGCTCTGAAGATGAAGGAGAATCTGAGGAGGTGGTAAAGCATCAGGAACCTGTTGGTGAAATGAAGGATGAAGGGGAAGAGACATTACATTATCCTGATACTTCCATTGACTTGTCCCACCTTCAATCCCAAAGGTAATTTAAAAACTGTAATTTTAAGTTTTATTTTGTAAGCTGGGAGTGATGAAGAGTTAATCCTTATACAAATGATACCAAGATTGACTTCAGTGCTTTTACCCTCCATTGTCCTACGAGCTTACTATCTTTTCACCATTTGATAGGGGGGTAGATCTCTCTTAAGAAATTCCCAGGACCCAGGGTAGAAAAACACAATATATATAAAAGTGGCCAAACTAGGTCAAAATAGAAACAAGTAAATGGTTATAAATGCTAATAATAAAAGCAGTTACATTAAAAAAAATGTGTTAGTCTTTAATGTCTTACTGATCACCAGGTAAACAATACCATAGCTATAAAAGCTTTATTACTGGAGTAGTTAGGAAAGGCTTAGGAGTCAGACCAGTATTGAATCTTAGAGTATGTCCTTGGGCAAGTGACTCTATGTCTAAGCTTCAGTTTTCTTCTTGGTGAAAAGAGAATGGTACCCCCTTCATAGGGTTTTGAAGGTTACATGAATGTAAAGCATCTAGCAGTGCCTGGTACATAGTAAGTGTCCAATACATGTCAACTATTTAAGAATATATTTTAAAGTGAGGAGATGAGCAGTTTGATTATATTTTTTCTAATTTTACCAAATTTGAAAATTTGTAGGATTGCTGATAATTAACTAAGAGTATGATATGGGAATGTTTTGGGACTTTGTAAGTGAATGCCTTTTATAGGGTAGTGGACTTCTCTTTCGGTTTGTTTCCATAGGTCTCTCCAGAAATTGGCTTCAAAAGAGGAATCTTCTAATATGGTAAAGGTTTTTTTTCAGTTTTATGAAGAACATCATGTCCTTCTCAATAAATAATTTTCTACTTTTTAATTTTAGCTTTATGAAAAATTAACAGTGGCGATGTTATTGTTTGTATTTGCTTGTTTTTTGTTTTAATTTTAATAGAGCGACAGTAAGTTGCAGAGCCGGAGGCATTTGTCAGCCAAGGAAAGAAGGTAAATATACTTGTGTTATTTAACTGAAAAGCATCTATTTTTTTTTTTTAATTAACAGTTCAGTCATGACAGATCACTTGGCTCTTACAAAGATCTCCCTTACTAAAATTATCAAGACTTAGCATAAATTTTGTTTAGTTTTTCATATTCTGCTCTAACAGGTTCTTCTGTTTTAGGGCCCCAGTCTGCTACTGTAATCAGTGAGATAGGTCAAGTAACAGAAGACAGACCTTTTATTACATAAATATGTACAATAATAGCTGCAGTGTATTAGACAGGCTGATTCTAGGGTAATATTGACAGAAGTAAACAGGAATACAGGCATACCTCATTTTATTTGTGCTTTGCAGATACTGTGTTTTTTACAAATTGAAAGTTTATGGCAACCCCACATGGAGCAAATCTGTTGGCACCATTTTTCCAACAGCATTTGTTCACTTCATGTCTCTGGGTCGTATTTTGGAATTCTTGCAATATTTCAAACTTTTTCATTATCATTATATTTGTTATGGTGATCTGTGATCAGTGATCTTTGATATTACTATTATAAAAAGAGTACGACTCACTGAAGGCTCAGAGGGTGGTAAGCATTTTTTAGCAATAAAGTGTTTTTAAATTAAGGTATATACATTGCTTTTTTTTAAGACATATTGCTTTGCACACTTAATAGACTGCAGTAGAGTGTAGGCATAACTTTATATGCACTGGGAAACCAAAAAATTCATGACTCGCTTTACTGCGATACTCACTTTATTACAGTAGTCTGGAACAGAATCTGCAATATCTCTGAGGCATTCCTGTACTGAAATTAGGAAATTTTTATGTAAGAAGAAGACTTGGGGTTTCTTCCTTGTCTTTTCTTTTTCTCTAATATAGTAGGGCTCAGAAGGCGAACAGAAAAAGAAAAAGATAGAGGCAGAATGAAAGGGACAACTGAGACAACTACTGTAAGGTGAAAAAGACTACAACTAGTAAAGCACTCCAGAAAGAGGCCCTAGATTGAAGTGGATAATAAACTCTTTTGAGAAAGATTATCATTATAAACAATTACAGAAAACTCTCTGAATACATGGTATTATGCTAGATACTGAGTACACAAAGAGGTAAAATATAAAGTTCATGCCATCAAGAAGCTTTTGAGTCCTGGATTCAGGAAATAGCCATAAATCTATAAATAGTGTTATCAGAAAGTGATACAGTAATTCAGGAGTAAGAATTTACTTTGAGTTCAGTTGTTTTGGGAAATACCATCAGAAGTTTATACCTTGAAGATATAGTAGGATCTTAGGTAAATGAAGTTAAGAAGGTCGGAGACTCCAAGGAGAATTAGTATGATCAAAGGGAAGGAGGTGGTGGGTATTTGGATGTAATATTCAAAGTGCTTTGGGGAAATGATAGATTGAGGTGAAAGGAACAGAATATTCATGTTTGTGAACTGGTAGATAAGATTGGCAAAGTGAGATTGGACCAAAAGTGGAGAACCTAGAATGACAAGCTAAGTGTTTTAGACTTATCCTGAAAGTGATGTGAGGAGGACTTTTGGAAGATTTTGAATGCGAGTGTGACATAGGTAAACAGTTATGGAAAAATAATCTAGAAGTTCATGGAGAACAGATTATGGGGGAAATATGGAGGAAGTCTGGGTGGCAAGTGATAAGGACCTGGCCTTAGGGCAGTGGCATTGGGAATAGAAGAGATCGCACATGAAAAATATCACAGTAATAAAATTTTCCTTTTCTCTTTAATCTGCTTATTTTTAAAATCCATTTATTCTGCTAACCAATCCACAAATGTTTTATCGAATACCTAACATCTGCCAAGGCCATGTTGATACAAAGACTACAAAATCCCAGTGCCTGGCCATCAAAGTGTTGAGGGACTTAACGTGGCTACTGAATCAAGATAAGTCAAGGATGCCAGTATTTTGAGCCTGGATGACAGAGAGAATGATAAATGCATGAGAGAAAAATTTTCAGCTTTTTCTTGTATGATGACTTGCACTTCTTGTATAGTGTAGCCTGGTGATAACAAATTAAGCAGAAGCCTTGATCTCTTATATATTGCACATGTTCCCCTCCCCATGTAATTTTTTTAGATGAAGTTCTTAGATGTTTCCGTTTCATTTATATTTAGGGAAATGAAGAAAAAAAAGCTTCCAAGTGACTCAGGGGATTTAGAAATGATAGAAGGAAAGGACAAAGAAAAAGAAAATGCTCTACACATTGAAACTCATCAGAACACCAGCAAAAATGTCCCGGCTGTGCAGCCAATGAAACGAGGACAAAAGGTAATACAACTTTGGAGTGAGCTGTTAAAGTTAGTACTACATGATTCACAAATGAAGTTGTGAGGTTTAAATGAAACAAGATGTAGAGAAAAGAATAATCCTGTGTGACTTCTTTTGAAAATTAGTTGAAAAGATAGTGTTTAGGGAGCATAGAGATCACTGTTCTGTTCTTTTAAGATCATCTATACAGAAGCTTTCATGTTATGTAGAAGAGTAATAGGAGATTGTGATTTATTTGCCAGAGACATTCAGCTAATAACTGGCAATGCTGGTCTCCATTGATAATTTAACTCAGTGGTTTCTTTTTCAGTTATTAATGCAATTTTGGTTACAGTTCTTACATATTTTATAAAGGTAAGGAATGAAGGAAGAGGTAGTGGGTATAGACTGTACTTTAAAAAATGTTGTAGCAGTGTAAAGAGATTGTGAGCTGATGTATAGGTATATTTTGAGGAAAATTAAATTCCTTTGAAATCTTAGTAAAGATCATGTTTTATCTTTCCTCCATCCATAGTAGTCAGAATTTCCTATGTTTTTTTCCAGTGGGCTTCATATAAGTGAAAGGATATACTATACATATGGAAGGGAAGAAATCAATTCATATTAATATGTAAATTCAACATGAAGTCATTCAAAAAAGAATTGAGATTTTCATTAACTTGATAAAGTAATTCTGAAGTTCATTTGAAAGAGTAAATACCAGAGAATAGCTAAGAAAATCTGTTGTTGTTGTTTTTTTTTAATACAATTATTTATTTATTTTCGGCTCTGTTGGGTCTTCATTGCTATGCGCGGGCTTTCTCTAGTTGTGGTGAGCGGGGGCTACTCTCCGTTGCGGTGCAGGGGCTTCTTATCGTGGTGGCTTGTCTTTGTTGCGGAGCACTGGCTCTAGGCGTGTGGCCTTCAGTAGCTGTGGCTCACTGGCTCAGCTGCTCCAGGGCATGTGGGATCTTCCTGGACCAGGGCTTGAACCTGAATCCCCTGCATTGGCAGGCGGACTCCTAACCACTGCACCACCAGGGAAGTCCCAGAAAATCTTGAAAAAGAAGATCAAGGAACGATTTCCCTACTAGGTAGTAAAACATTTACTGTTAGAATTATTAAAACAGTATGTGTTAACATAGGAACAGCCAGATAGAAAAGTGAGGCAGAATAAAATCTACACATAGAACCATAAACTGTGTATTTTAAAATTTAGTATTTGATAAAGTATTATTACAGATTGGGAGGGTATGAAACATTAAAAATTATTGGCTAGTCATGTTTTTAAAAATATTGAAGTAAATATCAGGTGGAGAAAAGAACCATCAATAAAATTGAAAGACAAATGACAGATTGGGGAGTGGGGAAGCAGGGATCAGAGAAATGCTTATGTCAACAAGGGGAATTTTTTCACCCATCAAATTAATAGATAATGTGTGTTCAGTCATTCAATAAAAGTTTGAATATATACCATGGGAATTTCCAGCAAGAGTCCTCTAACAATTCAGTACTTCCCTGGTGGTCCAGTGGTTAAGAATCTGCCTTCCAGTGCAGGGTACATGGGTTTGATTCCTGGTTGGGGAACTACAATCCCACATGCCACAGGGCAACTAAGCCTGCGCACTGCAACTACTGAGCCCACACGCCGCAATGAAAGACCCCGCATACCACAGTGAAGGTCCTGCGTGCCACAACTAAGACCCAAAGCAGCCACGTAAATAAATAAATGTTTTTTAAAAAAAGAGTCCTTAACAATGCATTTGCCCTCTGACTCACTCAGCAATTCTTATTTTTAGAAATTTATCCTAAAAAAATCATATGTATGCACTAAGGATATTCATCAAGTTTTTTTGGCCGCACCGCACGGCTGGTGGGATCTTTGTTCCCCACCAGGGGTCAAACCTGGGCCCTTGGCAGTGAAAGCACACAGTCCTAACCATTGGACCACCAGGGAATTTTCATAAGTTAAAGTTTATAATTGCAAAAAATCTGAAAATCTTAAATGCCTAATAATATAAAATAACAAAAAAATAACGTGGTGCATTTATACAATGAAATATTCTGCAGATAAGTTCCAAGGCAAATCCTGATGGAATTTTTACTAAAATATATTAAATTTTTAGATTATTTTGTGGAGAACTATCATCTTTACCATATTGAGTCTAACTGTTCGTGAATGTGGACCATAAGTACATAAGAATATTTTATATTCTTCAATAAAGATATATTTCCTTTTAGAGTCTTGTACATCCTATCTATTCCTACTTATATTGTCTTACTTTTTGTAAGTGGTATATTTTCATTTTTTATTTATTTATTTTTGGCTGCGTTGGGTCTTCGTTGCTGTGCACAGGCTTTCTCTAGTTGCGGCAAACGGGTTCCTCTTCATTGTGGTGCGCGGGCTTCTCATTGTGGTGGCTTCTCTTGTTGCAGAGCACGGGCTCTAGGCACGCAGGCTTCAGTAGTTGTGGCGCACGGGCTTAGTTGCTCCATGGCACATGGTATCTTCCCGGACCAGGGCTCGAACCCGTGTCCCCTGCACTGGCAGGTGGATTCTTAACCACTGTGCCACCAGGAAGTCCAGTAAATGGTGTATTTTTAAAACTTCCACTTCATGGTTATTAGTTACTGGTATATGGAAAGACAGTTTTCATGTGTAGATCTAGTATTAGGCAGTCTCACTGAATATTTAATATTTCATCTACAGATGAAATTCAGGCAGTCACTGTCTACAAATAATGGCTCTTCTAATCCTAACATCTATTGTTATTTTTCTCACCTTGTACTGGCTCAAACATCACTACAGTGTTACATAAAAGTAACAATAGTGTACTTCTTTGTTATACATTAAAGGGACTATTTCTGTGATCTTTAACATTGTAGGATGTTTCTTGTGGGTTGTTGATAAATATCCTTTACAAAGGGCTAGTTTTAATAATGATGAGTTAAACTTTATTGAATGGTTTTTCTGCATGTATTATTTTTCTCCCTTCATGAATTAGTGTGGTATATTAAGAAAATATCTTAGACTGGCCCCTAATACTGTCCTTGCCTGTTTTTGGTATCTAGATGATACCAGCTTCATAAAGTAAGTTTGATACTTTTCCCTTTTTCTGCTCTTTAGTACTTTGTGTAAAATGGAGATTGTTCCTTGAAATATTTTTAGCAATTGCTTATAAACCCGGGCCTGATATTTGGGGATATATGGGTAGGTTTTTAAGTTCTAACTAAATTTTTTTAGTGATTATCATTCAGGTTTTCTGGTTTTTTCAAAGTTGGCTTTCCTAAGTTATATTTTCCAAGAAACTGTTCTTTTTATTGGGTTTTCCATTTCTTGGTTCAATTTAATGGTAATAGTGTTTATTTTATTCTTGGGGTTTTTTGTTTTTTGAGGTGTAATGTACACATAGTAAAATGCACAAATCTTGTTTTTAGCTCAGTTTTTATATGCACATATATCTGTGAAACCACCACTCAGAATAAGACACTTGAATGTTTATATTACTCCAGAGGACTCACTCTTGTCCCTTTCTATAAATAGTATCCCTGCCAGAGAAAAACATTATTCTTTAATCACTGTAGATTATTTTGCCTGTTTTTGAACTTTATGTAAAAAAGCAATCATACTGTATATATTCTTTGGTCTGGCATCTTTCACTCAACCTTTTGACTCATCCATGTTGTTGTGTGTGACAGTAGTTCATTTGCATTGCTAAATAGCATTCCACTGATGGATCTGCCACAATTTCTGTCTGCTGTATTGTTGATAATCGAAGACATGTATCTTTTAGGTTCTCAAGTGTGCATTTCTGTTGTGTATAGCTAGGAGTGGAAATGCTGGGTTATAGTGCACATATTGTGTTTGGCTTTAGTAGATATTACCAAACAGTTTTCCAGAGTACTTGTACCAATTTCACATCAAGCAGTGTATCAGAGTTCCAGTTGCTTCATGTCATCACTAACAGTTGGTATTGTTAGCGTTTTTTAAGTCATTCAAGTGTGTGTATACTGAAACTTAATTTGGCTTTAAAAAGTTGGGTTGTCCAGCTTTCTTACTGATTTATAGGAGTTCTTTGAAACCCTGAATACAAGTCTTTTCTTGGTTATATGTATTACAACTACTTTTCATGTTTCAAGACTTGCTTTTTCACTTCTGTAGTAGTGGGTTTTTTTTTTGATGTGGACCTTTTTTTTTGTCTTTATTGAATTTGTTACAATATTGCTCCTGTTTTATGTTTTGGTCTTTTTTTTGGCCCAGAGGCATGTGGGATCTCAGCTCCCTGCCAGGGATCGAACCCACACTCCCTGCATTGGAAGGTGAAGTCCCAACCACTGGACGGCCAGGGAAGTCCCTGTAGTAGTGTTTTTTGATGAGCATCATTTGTTAATTTTAATGAAGTCTGATTTATCAGTCTTTTGTAGTTAGTGGTTTTTTTGTGTGTCTTGTTTAAAGCAATCTTTAAAATTTTAAAAATTTGTTATTTGGGCCCTAGCTAAGACTAGTCAAGATAAAAAGTCTTTGAAGGCGAAGCCTGTATGTCTGTAGTTTTAAAAACTGCTCGGGTGAGTTGGATGTGTACCCAGAGTAAAGAATCAGTAGTTTAACTGATAAAATTCGAAGTATTGATAGCCTCTAAATACCCAGCTAAGCTTTGCTGCCTTATTTCCTGTTCTTCCTCTATATGTGTATCCTGATGCCAACCAAGTGCGATGACTTGCTGTTACTACTCTGCTGTCTTTACCTTATAATCTTGCTGTTCATGTATTCCCAGGTACTATGAATCTTTTAGTTTTGCTTTATATCTTCCCTGCAATTCTTGCTCAAGGTGAAAAAAATGTCTCCTTTCTCTAAATTATCTTAAAAGTAAACTTGCTTGTATTTAGAATATTTTGCATTAATTTGTCCTTACTCTTCTGTGTATCTTCTTTTTCCGCCAGATGGTAAATTGTTTGAGGGTGAGGACTATGGTTCATCCATCGTTATAGACTTCATATTGTTTGTTATAATGGTGCCTTACTCAATAAACAATTTTGACACAAATAAAGTAGCACCTTCTCTTTACAAAACATGTGTTGACATTTTTTTACTGCTGAATTTTTTTATTTTGTAGAGTAAAATGAAAAAAATGAAGGAAAAGTACAAGGACCAAGATGAAGAAGAACGTGAGCTCATCATGAAATTGCTAGGGGTAAATAACATCTAAAAACATTTTCTTCTTTTGTTTTTCAAGGGCATCCAGGCCACTGCCTATCATATGCTTTACATTCAATACTTTGTTAAAATACTGACAACATTAACTTTTTTTCCCTCTATGAACTGAAGTCTGCAGGTTCAAACAAAGAAGAAAAAGGGAAGAAGGGGAAGAAAGGTAAAATAAAGGATGAACCAGTGAAGAAACAGCCCCAGAAACCTAAAGGCGGACCAAGAGTTTCAGACAGCATAAAGAAAGAAACTCCATCCCTTGAAGTTACAACTCATGAGTTACAAGACTTGGCTGTAGATGATCCACATGATGACAAGGTAAGGCTACCACACATGTGGGCTTTTACTTCTTAATTAGGGTGACCAACCATCCCATGGTTCCCAGGACATGGGATTTACAGTGCTAAAACCAGGATGAGTGGTAATGCTATTCTTAATGGAAAGTCATCTTAGGAATACAACCTAAAAGACTAAAATTGCAGTATATAAGCATAAAAATGGTAGTGTTGATAGCTCATAAAAAGTTTATCATGAGCCATTAGAAAATTTTATGGAGAGGCTAGATTCTGGTGGGAACTTAGTTAAAATAAAACAGACAATTAGGATTATCTTGATGACGAGTGGGAAAGGAATTTGCACTTTTCTAGGTTTTTCTATAAGAATATATGTTATAGTATCTTACATGATGTTGAACCTAGCTACACAGTGTGAGATGTTAACAATTTTTCCAGTTAATATAGTTGCCTTGTGTCTATCAACTGAATACAAAAGCCCAGCCTTACGTATATCTTTTTTTTAAAATCCTGATTAGCTGTTTTTTTCTTATTTATTTAATTTATTTATTTTTGGCTGCGTTGGGTCTTTGCTGCTGCATGCGGGCCCCCTCCAGCTGCGGCAAGCAGGGGGCCACTCTTCGCCGCGGTGTGCGGGCCCCTCAGTGAGGTGGCCTCTCCCGTTGCAGAGCACAGGCTCTAGGTGCGCAGGCCTCAGTAGTTGTGGCACACAGGATCAGTAGTTGCGGCGCGCAGGCTCCAGAGTGCAGGCTCAGCAGTTGTGGCAGACGGGCCCAGCTACTCCGTGGCATGCGGGATCTTCCCGCACCAGGGCTCGAACCCATGTCCCCTGCATCGGCAGGCGGATTCTTAACCACTGTGCCACCAGGGAAGCCCCCCTTACGTATATCTTCTTGCATGAATAGATATATATCTTATTGAAATTCTGAACAAAGGATTTACTGTTTTATCAATTTGTAAAAAAAATTGTTTCACTTTGTATTTTTATTTATGGCAGTTAAAGCTTTGGTTGTATTTGTGTGCTCTATTCAGTGCAGGTAATGCTTACAGGGATCCTAAGTGATACTGTTTTCTTTTTTCCCTGAACAGTGTTGTTTAGTAATATTAAAACTCGTTTTTGTCCTCAAATTTTTATACTATTTATTCTGTAAACCCTAGACTCAGATATTCAGAGGTGTTAATTATGAATGTTCTTTCATCAATAGATTATCTTCAGATAGATTTTTTTAATGTGAATAAGCAAATAAAATTAAGCTTATCGTAACATGTGAAAAATTCATCCTAAAACTGTTGAACAGAGACTAGCAAATAAAAGTTCTGTTCACCAGAATTCTCCATTTTCTTTCCCCCTGACAAACCTATCAAGCTTATTTGTCACTTTAAGTTGTCCTAATAGCATTCACTACTTTAGCATATATTCTGTGGAAGTCTTTTTTTTGAAACTTTAGGGAAACAGTCTTTTTTCTCTTTGAATGGCATTGCTTTCTGCTATACTGGATACACATATTAATTTACTCAGTCTTATTTATCACTTTTTCTTTCTCCTCATAGTTTTTAATGGTTTGGAATTTCAATTTAAGTTATAACTGACTTTTAAAATTTTATATATTTGGAACAGGAAGAGCAAGATCTGGACCAACAGGGAAATGAGGTAATGATTTTGTATTGGGGTTCCTACTACAACACTAACTGCAATCCAGTTCCCAGAATACCTGACACACAACTTCTAACTAATTAAAACTTAAAACACTAAGAAAAGACTACAGGCTCTGGAGTCACACATTCTGGGTTTGAATCCCAACTTTACTACATATGACTACAACCTTGGAAACATTCTTTACACCTCAGTTTTCTCATCTGAAAAATGGGGATAATTGCCCCTACTGAGACAGTTGTTTTGAGAATTAAGATAATATACATAAAATGTTTAGAAAAGTTCATGGCATATAGTAAGCACTAGCTGTACCAAGTGTTTTGTCCTAAATCTAAATTTACTCATGTTGTTAAATAAATATGGGTAATCTTGAACGCAGTCCACAAAATGGGAACTCTAAGAAGCCATAGAATTTCTCCTTAAGGACAGGCATGAGAGAAGACTGTTCTAGCCCAGGGTTTCCCAGCTTTGGCACTATTAACATTTTGGAGGAGGTAATTCTTTGTTGCGGGGAGTTGTCCCATCCCTGGCATCTACCCACATCCCTGGCATCTACCCACTAGCAGATGTCAGTCGTACTCTATTTCCTCCCCCAACCTCGCTTCAGTTGTGACAACCAAAAATGTCTCCAACAAGTTTTTTCTCCCTTTCTCTTAAATTTCAATAGGCGCCATTTAAAAAATCATCATTAAGCTCTGCTTTATTGCTCCGAAGGGTGTAAGACTGCTTATCAGAAAATGATAAAATATATTGATTCTGACAGTGTTTTATTAGAGTTTTCCTCTTTTAGGACTGGTATAAATTATTTTTATAATCGTTTTTGTTTTCCCTTTTTAGGAAAATCTGTTTGACTCTTTGACGGGGCAGCCACATCCTGAAGATGTACTCCTGTTTGCCATTCCAATATGTGCCCCATACAACACCATGACAAACTATAAGTAAGTCATCATGAGTTTACTCAAACTGCTGCCACAGCACTGACTCATGAATCATTTTGTAATCTCTATTTAGTAACAAACACATGCAATTCCTTTTTAAAGATACAAAGTGAAACTTACTCCTGGAGTTCAGAAAAAGGGAAAAGGTATTTAAAATCTTTTTTTTGAATTATGTTTAAACATTTCTTGACTGAACAGAAGTAGATTTTTCTATTTTCTATTTACAGCTGCAAAAACAGCCTTGAATAGTTTCATGCATTCCAAGGAAGCAACAGCAAGAGAAAAAGACTTATTCCGCAGTGTAAAGGTAAAGTATTCCTCTAGAAACTTCTGGAGATTGGTGGTGCAATTAAATATGTTAGCAGTTATTGCTTTGTTAGTAGATGGAACCTGCAGCTATTATTTTGGTAGAAAATGCGGTCTTACTAGAAGCAATATAAAATAAGTAAAATCATATTGGGTGAAAATTTTAGAATGCCATTCTTTTGACAGCAGAGGACATATAATTGTCATAAAAGAAAATATGATTGTGAAGATACTCAGCAATTCTTTTTTTCAGGACACGGATTTATCAAGAAACATTCCTGGCAAAGTCAAAGTGTCTGCACCCAATCTTCTGAATGTAAAAAGAAAATAGCTGAAATGAAATCCTAAAATATTTGAGAAGAGTCAATTTTATAGCCTTTTGGAAGTTCAGAGATGAAAACATGTAACAAGACTTCCGCATTTAAAAATAAACTAAACGTTGCCTTGTATTCGCCAAAAGGACTTTTTTTTTTTCCAGTTTTATAGAGAGGAAACAGTGTCTATGATAGGATTTCCTAAAATACCTGTGGACAGCTAAATGCTAACTGTATACATCTGTAGTTATCCTCCTACATTTTCTTGAAATTTGGGAGGATAATATTAAGTATTCATTTCATGCTGTAAAGAAATGGAATAGTGAAGTGGCTCAACTGCTTAGACTATTGACTTGGTAGTTTACTGTATATAACGTATATCTATCTATTACAGGCCAATCACAAGTTTTTTTCCTGGTGGTGGTGGGGATTGGGGGTGGTTAAACATTTAGGATTAAGTCTTGAAAACCCTAAGCAGTGAAAGAGTAGACTTTCTTCTGCCTTTACCCATATTAGACCAGATTTTAAATACAAATCAATCATTTCCGTGACTCAGCTTAAGAGATAACACCTAGAAGAAATCGGTGTTGATAACTTCCATGCATTTATACACCTTTACTTTACTTTTCATCTTAATTAATTTCCTCCTTGTAATCTCATTCAGCTCTGTACCATTTTATTTTCCACCTCTAGTAATTATCAGTAGCATGTTACAGAGTATCTTAACCTATAATATATCATAAGTGCACTTTTAGGCTTACCACTAAAGACTCCTGACCCAGCTTTCTTCTTCTGTCTGTCTCCTAACAGAATGGAGAATAAAGTCATACATTACTTCCATTCCTTATGAGCTACAAAACTGTTACTTTTAAAATAATTAGATAATAGCTGCCTAGAGTCAACATGAGCACTTGCCCCAGCCCCTATGCCAAAGCATTAAGGTCAAAGTGTGCTAAACAGCTGCTGGTCCTTCCAAGGTTTCTTTTACCTGCTTAACCTTATCGAGAATATTTTTCCTTTTGAAGTTACTGTTAAAAACAAAAACCTTTATGTAGCCTAGTGTTGTAAATACAACATAATAGACTACTCGTGCCATTAAAAAAACATCTGAAATATTCATGTCTTTCTTTAAAAAATAACTTCACCATTTTGATAGTGGTAAGGATAATTACTATGTTTCTATAGGTATATATCCTGATGTTACCAAATAGGAAATATAATAACCATTCCTTGGGGTAAAAAGCCCAAGTATTAACTTACTTTTGTTTTAATAGAAGACAGTTACTGGTGTTAAATACATTTATTGTAAACTTTAGACACAAAAATAGGTTCTCTAGGCCATTCACATGCACACTAAAACTAAAAGGCTGCAAACTACAACAATGCACATAATTATATAAACAATGTCACTCTGATGTTTACAGAATTGCTGTCCATGCACGTGATCAGAGGCGCTGTCTATGAAGCCTTAAGATCCAGAAGTGTTGTTACTACCAAACCTCTGATTAACACTGTGAAGTAAGTGTTTTGGAAGGCAGTTCCACGAGCTGGCTAACATTTCTTTAAAGCAAATGACTGCTTCTAAGCTTAGCCTGAAAGTGGACAAAGAGAAAAATAATTTCACTTTATGGTTTAGAAGTACATTCACTTGAAGAACTACCAAAAAAGAAAAAGCACTTTAAAGATTTTCATAGGAACTGGATAGTTTTAACAGTGAAGGCTTGCTATTGCCCTTAAATTATCCATAAACCTGTTTTTTCAAAAGCACTAATTTAAAGTGTTTAAGAAACACAATTTAAAGTAAGTACCAAGTAAAAAGTTACTTACCTTACAAGAGATTTTGGTTGAACTGAAAATATAAGTATTTCATTACTGTGTGCCTAAAAAACAGACATGAAGAGTATATTAAAAGTACTTCACAAGAAAGCTTCAGCAATATTATGAAGTGTCCTTTAATAAAAGGTAGTGTACTTACAGCCCTGTGATGGACAAGAAGGTTATTGGCACACCCACCAAACACAATGACTTCTCCTTCATCACTGGCACAAGCTGTATGCCATAATCTACATTTAAAACAAAAACTTGAGTTTGAAGTCACCCTGAACACCAAACTGATCATTTATACTACAGAGTAGAGATGATGAAATAAAGACTAAAGATCTTTAGTGCAGCTCAAAACATAATGGTGAGATGCAGTTATCTCAAGGAAACGTAGCAGAAGCTGGAAAAATCAATGTCTGTTTTATCTGGATGTTACCGTTTTATCTTTCTGGTCCATTCCTAATTTATGCAATGAGGAATGTGAACTGAACTGTTCTCTAGGTTTTTGTTAGCAATAAAACTCTTACGGGGGATTAGTGGTATATGCCCTCTGCTTCTTCTCCTCTTTTCACAGGCAGGACCAGTTGGCCTTACACAAAACATCTGAGGGATGCTGACTCTGCCTGAGTGAACAAAGCATCTTCAGGCCTGATAATTCTGTGGAAAGAATATTTGTGCCAAATGACGTCTTAGCGGCATGACTGTACTTAGGTCGGAGGTGTGGGGAAAAATGCAGGCTGACATTATCCAAATGTGCTTTGAACACCAACTTTGCATTATTTCCTTTAGCAGTCTTTGTAACAATTCTTTTCGAGATTAACAAGAAAAGTAACTATCAGTGTTTTAATAGGTTCTTTTTGGATGATCTGACTTCTTGATCTTTGTTATACAGCACAACCGCAAATCTGATTGAAAGTTCTTGATTCTCCCTTCCCAGCCCCTACCCCCCACTGCCATAAACATTCTTTAGGGTTTTGAAATTCTCTCCTTTCCAGTTCCTTTTTGTTTTTTTTAATGAAAAATCTAGAAACAGTTCAACTTAACTTGACTAAAGAGCTTGAGTATAAATTTTAACAGTGTCAGTAATTTTATGATGAAGCAAAAGTCAAAATCCAGTCCTATTTTTCATACACAGATGATAAAATAGAAAGCACTGATACTAGGATAACATTGGTTTTCTCTTCTTCCAAAAGCTACAATGTTAAACCTTAGTGAATGCTAGGGTTCTTATAATAAGAATGATGAACTGAATGCAGCCAGTCAAATTTCCTCAATCATTACCAGTCTTGTACATCTCTGTGGACCTCATTCATTCAGCATAAGAATTAGTTTTTAAATAGTTCATACCTTGGTTTTTCAGTATAGGGATGATTAAACTGTATCCATTCGTTTTTACTGATGCAGTAAGTCCAGGCATCACCTGATTGAAGCAAAGAAAAAGAGCTATGAAGTATGTTATTCTGTTAATGTGACATTGATATTTAAAGAGCATAGCTTTAGGGCTTCCCTGGTGGCGCAGTGATTGACAGTCCGCCTGCCAATGCAGGGGAGGGGGGATCCCACATGCCGCGGAGCGGCTGGGCCCGTGAGCTATGGCCGCTGAGCCTGCGCGTCTGGAGCCTGTGCTCCGCAACGGGAGAGGCCACAACAGTGAGAGGCCCACATACAGCACAAAAATAAATAAATAAATAAAGAGCATAGCTTTAGTAAGAACAGTAATAAATCAGATTTTGAGTAGATACAGAAAGTATATTTCCTTTTTTTTCCTGCAGTTAACCAAGTAAGCCCTTTGCATGTTACAGCCCTTTAGCAGGGCAAAGTGTTCCGGGTCATTTTTTTACTGGACCAATGGATGTGTCATGAAAACAATTATAGGTATGTTATAGGATCAAAATTAGTAGCAAACCTTCTAACCAACCCTATAGCCCTCTGATAAATTTAAAATACTGATTTTTTTCAGCTATTCATATATTACTTATGAATTATATATAATAACTTTTTAATGTTTTTAAAGTACTTACTTAGTGGCTGTTTATCAGTGGTAAATCCTCCAAAGAGAAAGAGATGATCTGAAGAAACTGGTGTTAGTGAGTGCCAAGATCGGCCAACTGGGCATATGCCTTGTGGAATTCTGAAAATAATAGCTAAGTTACAATATCTACATTTAAAAGCCGCTACTGTATTTAATGCAGAGAAATACTAAAGAAGTTTTCTTTAAAAATTTATATGGAATTTTGAAAAGAGACTTTAAAAAGTCTTCTTGGTATTAACTACATGCTTTAGAATGAACTACTTTCTTTGAAGGAAGAGTCAACTTTAGATCTTTTCTTTTCAATAAACACTGAGCACATGCTATGTGCCAGGCATAGTTTATGGGAACTGAAAATTTTAAAATTCCTTCTTTAAGGATTTAGTGATTATGTTTACTTAAATTCATAGTTACAGAAAATGTAAGCAAGGACATTATATACTAATAATAGAGTAACGGAAAAATCCATTGAAATTTCTTTGAAAAACTTTTCTAAATAATTATCTAAAATGATACCTACAATTCATTCCACTCCCATGTATCCAGATTAAGACAGTGAAGATCATTCATTCTAGCATCCTAGAAAAGGATAATTAACTAGTTATCATTTTGAGTAATTCAAAAGCAAATCATTGAAACTTGTTTTATATACTCACTCGATATCTGCCTCCAAACACAAAGCCTTTGTTTCCAACAGTTGCACAGGCATGGGCAGCACGAGGTGAAGGTGCTTTACCCTAGTAAGGTCATAAAAGCAATTTAATAAATAAGTGAACGTTTTATAAATACCAGAAAGAGTCTACTCTGGATGTGGGATAAGAATGTGCAAGACACTTGAGCTTTTAAGCTGAAGTGCAAACTTATAGTAGACAGCAGTACTGAAGGCTGACTAGCAAGCTGGGAGTTTCTGAAATACATTACTGAAGGGGCTAGTTAATACAATAGAATGCTTGCTTGCTTTACTTTTATCTTTTAAAACAAAAGCTGGCATATTATATGACATCTGTGTCAGAGGAAAAAGAAATCTAATAGTTGAGTAACTTAAATTCCAATCCAGCACTAGGTCATTTATTACAAACAATACCACTTTAACAGCTATTAGATAATAGATGCTGCGCTAGTCTATACATTCATTAAACTTTTTTGAGTTTTAAACTCCTTGGAGAATAACAAACTGCCAATTTTACACCACCTGCCAACTCCCCTTCTCGTCTAAGCAGACTTGCTTTAATAATTCATTATTCTTCAGTAACTCACAGTAGTTATAGGCTGGCTCCAGACAAATGTTTCAGTGTCTAAAATATGTACATGATCATTCCATCCTCTTGGATGACTTGAATTCTACAGAAAATAAGAATCTGAGTTATTTTACAAATAATGTTCGTAAAATCATATAGCCTTTGTCTGGTTTATTAACAGAGCAAAATGAACAAAGCTAATAGCAAACAAAGTGTATTATTTCAATAGACTAAGTAGGCCATATGCAAGTAAGAAACTTCATTTACCCAAAAAGATGTTTCATCAAATTCAAAAGTTCCCAATACTTTATCTTCAGGTAAATATCCATACCCTCCAAAAAATATTAACCTGTTTGATAAAAAACCAAGACATTAAAAAATCAAACATCCACAGGATACAAGAGATTTTTTAAATTTTGTCTTATCCATGAGTTGAGAAGGCACACTTGAGTATATAAAACTGCTTATTCAAATAATAATGGCTAATATGGCTAACATTTATGTCTTAGGTGCTTTACCATCAATTCACTTAATCCTCATGGGCACTCGAAGGCGTGTTCTACTGTTACAATGGTTATTGGTTAATGATACTTGGATGGCAAAGCACTTTCCACATAAAAACCCAAACCTATAGTGCTGCTAACTCACTTGTTTTTATATACCCAGACACCGAGTTTGTCCTTTGATGATGGAGGAATTCCTTGGCAGTCAATTCTTTCCCAGTGTAATACTCGGTCTGTAGACCTTGAATCCAGCATGTAGAACTGTCAGAAGCAATGATTTCAGTTAGATTTGGTTACATAAAAGAAATTCAACCTTGGCATTTAATTTTATTGCATTCATGCTAATAAGACTGTCATCTAATTCAGTACTAATAAAAGTGGAACTGCAGACTGGCTGCTTGTCTGCAAAGTGTTAACTGGTCTGAGTCTAGATAAGAAATTTCTGCCAGAATGTAAATTACCTAAGTCACTGTGTACCCTGTTTAGTTCAGCTTATTTTTTTCCCATACCACACTTTTTTGATGAAGGAATAAAACGTGTGTTGATTTACATTCT